AATCTATTTTTTCTTTTTCTTATTAGTATATGCTTATGATATATAACAAATGCATTCATGATGAGGAGTTGGCATCTGATACTTTTAATTTCCTCTTTCCCTCCTGTCCTATCTCCTCCCATCCTCAGATCCCTTTTCCATTACACAAAGTCTACCTCTTTGTTTTCTATCATGTATCTTTTACTTTGTTCTTTGAATTATTTATACATGAGTTTCTCATGTGAAAGACATCATGCAATATTTAACTTTGTGTGTCTCATTTATTTCACTTAGCATTATGGTCTCAAGGTGCATCCATTTTCCTACAAAGGACTCAAATTTATTCTTCTTTAAGGCTGAGTAGTACTCCATTCTGTATATATATATACCACATTTTCTTTATCCATTCATCTGTTGATGGACATATAGGCTGCTTCCAAGCTTTAGCTAGTATGAATTGTGGTGCTATAAACATGGGTATACATGTATCACTGTAATATGCCATCTTTTAACTCTTTCAGAAAGATATCTAGAAGCGGGGTAGCTGAGTCAAATGGAACTTCTAGTTGTAGGTGTTTGAGGAATCTCCATACTGATTTCCACAGTGGTTGTACTAGTTTATGTTTCCATCCATAATATAGACAAGGTCCTTTTTCCCCACCACCTCACCAACATTTTCGTTTTTGTGTTCTTAGTCCTAGCCATTTTCTGGAGTGAGGTGGAATCTCAGTGGTTTTGTTTTTAAATTTTGCATTCTCTAATGGTCAAAGATGCTGAATATTTTTTCACATATCTATTGACCATTTGCACTTCTTCTTTTGAGAAGTGTCTATTCATTTCAATTGCCCATTTTGTTTGATTTGTTCTTTCAATTTTGGAGGCCTAAGGTTTTTAGTTCTTTATATTTTATAGGTATTAGGCCTCTATCTGAAGTTGGTAATTTTTTCCCATTCTGTCAGTTGTCCTTTCATTCTGTTGGCTGTTTCCTTTGCTGTACAAAAGCTTTCAATTTGATATAACCTCATTCATTAGTTCTTGGTGGTTTTCTTTTTGTGTGTGTGTGCAATTGAAGTTCTGCTCAGAAAGTCATTGCCTATGCCTATGTCATTAAGAGTTATACCTATTTAACTTCCAGCATATTCAGTGTTTCTGTTTTTATATCTAGGTCTTTGATCTATGTTGATTTCAGTATAAGATGAAATGTAATGGGCCTAGATTCAATCTTCTGCATGTGGATAAACAGGATTTCCCAGCACCATTTGTTAAAGATGCTATCTTTTCTCCAGCATATGTTTTTGGCTCCTTTGTCAAAGATAGCTGAATGTGCTTGGAGGTGTTTGTGCATCCTCTCTTCTGTTTCATTAATCCACAGGTCTGTCTTTTGTGCCAGTATCATGCTGATTTTTTAAAAAATAGCTTTGTAACATAACTTCAAAGTTAGGATTGTGATGCTTCCTATTTTCCTCTTGTTGCTCAGGAATCTTTTGGCTATTCTGGGTCTCTTATGCTTACATATAAACTTCAGGATTTTTTCTAGTTTTATAATCAGTATCTCTTGAGAGTGCTATAACATTCACTTTTGAGAACACTAGGTCCAAAGCTATCAGTAATCTATTGTTCTGTTTCCCTTTAGTTAATCTCCGACCTTTTATAAAGTCCCTTGATTATCAAAGGAAATGTTCAAGTCATAGTAAAAGGGGCACACAAAATACAAGTATACTTGGGGACATGTCTGCTAATCATGCTACTCTTATAAATGGTCCAAGAGAAGTGGAATATAACTAGAAGTGTGTTGAGGTACCATGCAACATAAGAACAAATCCACCCTTCTTACAAGATATGAATTTCTTTAACCAAAATTATTGAAAATGGAACTATTTTTTTCTGTGCAGTAAATATTCAAAGAATTCTTGATCAAGGGAGAATGTATTTGAACCTGAGTAGGGTGGAATTCTGCTTCATGTGTAGTAAGGGAGAAAATTAAGCACAAAGGAACTGGTACCTAGCAGGTGGCTGCTTAGAAAGACTTACTACTCCCCGCACAACTGCTAAAATACTCCAGAGAAAGAGAGAGATTTGTGAGCATGTGTACATAGGATCAAACAGTGGACTCATACAGGAAGTCTTTTTAGACCCATTATGGGTAAAAACAATTTACATTCAGCTTCTGACATGTAGCTTCACTATTTATTTTTTATTACACTGAGTTTTTGTTTGGTTTTTGGAGATAGGATCTCGCTATGTAGTTCAGGCTGGCTTCAAATTCACTGTGTAGCCCCAGTTGGCCTCAAACTCACTGTAGTCTTCCTGCCTCAGCCTCCCAAGTGCTGGAATGACAGGCATGCACTTCCATGCCCAGCTTACTATTTATTTTTAAGCAACTTAGTAAAATATCTATATGATTGATAGTAATAGATGGTAGCAAACTAATTAAAATCACCAGAGACATAATGGTCTCTAGGGATTTTGACTCTAAGGTTATTGCTCTTTAGGTTGAACTATGTTAACAGGCAAGATGAAAGACTTTACGAAGTACTGTATCACATATAGGTGTGTGGGGGGAATTAAAGAATAAGATGTTTTTCCTGCCTTGGGAAAATGAAAACCAGCCACAAAGTTAAGAAGGTAGTTGTCTTAATGTTTGAAGTACAGCCCTGAATGCATTTCCTGTTAAAGGAACTGAAATACAGAGTGTTAGAAATGTCTGTGCCCCACTTCCTAGAAAATGTTTCTCTGAGTATTTTCTATAATGAGAGAATCTTTTGATTCCTATTGTAAAAATCCAGGAGAAGCTTGAAGAAGGCAAAGCAAACAGGAAGCAGAGTTCAATTTGTGGAAAGCTCAGGGCAGAAAAGCAAATCACTGAAAAATGTGTCCATCCCTAAAGAGTCTTAAAACAAGAGGGTAGAAAAGCAATGATAATAAAAAAGCTGCCATGGATCCGTTAATGGGAATGTGGTGTGCCAGTGAGCCAACTGGGTGTGTTTTGAGTTTCTAGGCTTTAATCTACCTTTCTACACAAATTCTTCTAAAAAAATGCTCCCAAACACAAATATCTTTTTAATGCCATTTAAAATAAATTGAGAACCTCATTTGTAGAAACTTCGTAGAAGTTATTTAGACTAGAACAGGAAAAACTTAGAACTTCTAGGACATTTTAGACACAAAAAATGAATTTGGACAACTGAGTGTGGTGGTGCGTGCCTGTAATTCCAGCACTCTCGGAGGCTGAGGAAGGAGTTCAGCCTGGACAATTTGGCAGGGAAGGGAAGGGGAGGAAGGAAGGAAGGGAGGGAGAGAGGGAGGGAGGGAAAGAGGGAAGGAAGATAGAATGAACAAAGAAAGAAAGGAAGGACAGAAGGAAGGAGAGGACAGAAGGAAGACAGAAGGACAGAAGAAAGGAAGGAAAAAGAGTAGGAAGGAAGAACAGAGGAAATGAAGGAGAGGACAGAAGAAAGGAAGGAAAGAAGAATGGGGAGAAAGAAGAAAGGGAGGGAGAGAGGGAAGGAGGAAAGGAGAGAGGGGAAAAATTGGGCAAGCTTTGGTCTGACCAGATAAGGTAGAACTGGGATAATTTTTTTCTTCCTAATTTTGACTAAATAAATGTCTCAAGTCTCGCAGTGGTCCCATTTGTTGTCCACACATTCTGAAAATGTCAATTACTTCTCCATGGCATCAGAAAGATCTGGGAAGTGATTGGGCTGTTGAACTATCCATGACCACTCTTTTGAGACCAGGAGTAGAGCTTTACTTCTGGGGATCTGCTGGAAATTAGAGGTTAAGAAAATTGGCCAAGCTACACCCACAGTGCAGGGCTAACTGGTTATGTGTTAGAAGATTTTACAGCTGTGCAGTGCAGCTGGGACAGCCAAAGAACCTCTAAGACTCCTGGATCGGGGAGAGGGTCCAAGAGCAATACCCCTGTAGCTCTAACCTCCATTTCAAACACATTCTTTGTTCTCACCTGCGGCACACTAACTAAAACCTTATTCTATTTCACCATGCTGGGTACCACCAACCGAAAGGGTATTGTGATCACCAAATTGTTACAAGAAGACAAAAAAATCTTACAGCCCGCTTCCTGGACCTGGTGGTAAAGGATATACTCTGCGGGTTCTGGTGTTGATCAGTTTCTCACCCATTTTCAGAAGGGAAATTTTAGAAGGCTGTTAAGACTAAGAACAGGACTGAAGAGGAGCTGAATCTGCTTGGGGGAAGGTTTGTCTTTGCATAAAATCATCACGCAGCCCAAGGGCAGCATGGCAAGGAATTTGGGGCTTTGTGAGACTGTGCACATCTGACTCCAATGGCTTAGGGCATATACTGCCGAAGGCAAGCCTCACATCCACTTTTTCCATTTCATCCGTAAATATGATGGAAAAGGGTAACTATAGCATCCCTTGTCATATTTTTTCAGGTCACAAATCCATTGGCCACTTACCCGTTCGATGAGGGGGAAAAAGCCCACTTGTTTTTCTAATACTTGTTATCAAGCTGCTTATTACTAGTGTCTCTTGTATAAAGCTTTTGTTTGCGAACAAAGAAATAATCATGACTCTGAAAAAGCATTTCAACAACTCATTCACTTTTAAGGGTTATCTGAATTCAGTTTTAATTTCATAAAAAGGAAGAAATCTGCATTGTGAGGGAATATCTAGTGTTGCTAAGTGTATCACGGCCTCTACCACTGAGTTCACTACTACTGAATAATCTGACCAGACACTTCCTGTAGACAAAGGAACTGACAAAAGTCTGGGAATTCAAATTTGAGATAAGATGTGTAAAGATTTCCTAGGAAATTTTTTTATGTAATGTCAAAGGTTGTAAAAAGGTCAAAGAAATGAAGATGGAGAACTTTCCTATAAAATGTTACCCAGGCTCACCAAATGCTCAAATGTACTTTCTCAATTTACTCCTGCAAATACAAGGCTGCCAACATAGTTGGCCTATTATGTGGAAAAACAAACTAAACAAATACCATCATTTCACACAAACACACACAAAGAGCAAAACAGATCAAATTTTGGTCATTCTGTTTATTTCGTTTAGGACTTTCACTGAATATTAACTAGGGTACTTAAAAGTTATTTCAAGTAGGAACCTCTTTAGTCCTTCATCAATTATTTCAAGTGTCTTAGTCTCAAATATATCCTTTTCTTCTACAAACTTCTGAAAAAGATGAACACCGCCACCAACACCAAAATAATGTGCTTTGCTGGCCAAAAGCACCCGTCCACCCTTACTCAATAGACTAAGGAATGTTTGGTGCAAAGTACTGTAATAATCCGGATTATAAATGGTTTCTGAGGTAAGAATGAGATCATATTTTACAAAGAGATTTTCGCTGTTTAACATAAGCTTACAAAACTCAGACCACTCTCCAGAAAAGAACCGACATTTACATAGTTCTTGTGCTACTTTCGACTTCCTGCATTTTTTCACATCTGGTTCATCTGCATCATTTTCCTCATCTTCCAAAGAGCAGTTAGCCACTACATTAGGTAAAGTTACTTCATCAATCACCAAACTGTTATAATCTTGAAAATGAATTTCTTTGGCCCCTCCCTTGAATGCGGTTATACCCAGCAACCCTGATCCGCAGCCGAGATCTAACACTTTCTTCCCAGCAAATTTCACTTTGGCCTTTGTGAAATAAGTCAGGAGGTCAAAGGTACATTCCCAGATTTTTAAGCCTCCTTCATAAACACCTGTAATCAGATCAGAGTGAGAAGACAAGCTTTTGGAAATTATGTTTTCTCCAGGGAAGTTTTCCCTCGACCAGATAGTTTTCACTACTGATATGTTAACATGCTGAAGACCCGGTAACAATTCTATGACTTTGTTTTCTAACACTTTCTTTAAATCTTCAGGCAGAGCATGCTCTTTGGCAACTGCCAGGCGGGGCTGTTTTTCATCTGGGTCCAAGTTCCTCGAACCTTTGGCTGTACTGATTGGGCTGTCAGCGTCTTGGGAGGGAGCTACATTTCCCATTGCCCTGTACTCCCACAAATGCTCCGAAGGCAGGTCAGACTGTTCCATAGGATGTTTCCTCTCCTTCTGTTTTTGTTTTTGACTTTCTGAGGCGGACGACACTTTTGAGGGACTCAGAGTCAAAGCTCCATCTTCAGGGGGTGTTAATTCATTTTCTACATGGTCTTCTATATTGAAATTAAATTGAAAGATCATCTTTGTATTAAACACACACACGATTCTTAAATTCAAAAAAAGACTCTTCAACTTCTGGATAAAGTCTGAGGACACACAGAAATCTGCCTCAATGATTCAATTAGTTACACTGAAGTCAACTTCTCTTTAGCTGTTTATACGCCACTACAAACATTTAGAGATATTTCCAAAGACTTTTTTGTTTATTCGTTTGCTTGAGACAGGGTCGTGCTATGTAGTTCAGGCTGGTCTTGAACTTACTCTGTAGCCCAGGCTGGCCTCCAACACAGTAGGATCTTCCTGCCTCAGCCTCAAAAGTGCTGGATTACAAGTACACGCCACCACACCTGGCTTCAAAGACTTTTTAAAGATGTCTTTGACTGTCTTTCACTTGACCCTGGAGAAAAAAAAGGTAAAATGGTGATTAAAGCAAAATGGCACATTTCACTAAAATGAAGTATTAAACCCTTTACCTACCCTCCCCTACACAGCTGCCTTTTGTAAATCGGCTATGGGAAGAGAGAAGAGATTTGGGGAAACATGCACGTATCTTAAGTTCAAAAACTGGAGGAGAAAATAAACTGTAAAAATAAACTGAAAAACAATAACAGTACAGCAGTCACTGCCACCCCTACCAGAACAAAGTCCACGATTCTGAAACAGGACAGCCTAACTACTTGGTGTCATTCAGCAGTCCTGAGTAAGTCCAAGTTCGTACAATCCCCGAAACTCCAGAATTTCTTCCCTTCTGTTACTGCCTCAAAACATAGTTCAAGGCTATATTTTGGTAAGTGAACATTGCTTTTAAAATAAACATTCACAGGTAAGGGTAGAAGTGTGTAAATTCAACAGAATGACTTCACTTCAAACATCTGGTTCGGACCCCAGCCTCCTTTATATGAGACTGGGGTCATCTGGGAGCAATTAATAAAGATTAGTTTGGTTGCTGAGCTGACCACAAAATAAGGACACTGCACTAACCATTTCTACGGGAGGACTAGTGGAAGTGGAACCAGCTGGTTCTGTTGTGTTGGTTTTCCTTTTCCTTTTTTTTTTTTTTTTTTTTGCAGTACTAAGCACTGAACACCGGGCCTTCTTACTAAGCTACAGCTCAACCCCTTATTATTGAGTTTTTAAATTTTGAAATAGGGTCTCACTAAGTCGCTGAATTGCCTACTCTGGGCTCGAACCTGTGACCCTTCTGCCTCAGCTTCCAACACCGCCAGAGCTCTGTAGCATCTGCTCGATCTGCACAGCAGTCCTGACGTTTTTATTCTGCCCCCGCCCCCCAGGATGCAGAAGGGGTGCACACCCCAGTTTCCACCTCTCGAAGCAGTCTGGGAGCCACTTCTGGAGGGGTCCCGATCAAACTTGACCCCAGAAGAGCAACCTCAAAGCTCTAAGGAACCGAGGCTTATAAACCTGTGGACTTCTAGCTCTCACCTCCCAGAAGCGCCCGATCTCAGTGGAAAGTCTGTGACCGGGCCTGCGACCACGCAGTCGGGAGAGTCCTGGGGTAGTACACCCGAGAGCGCGAAACAGCGAGTCGAGTCCTCCGGGCAGCCAGATAGGCCCGGTTTCCCTCTCTCTGCTGCAATGGAAGCCAGTGGGCTTCCTCTCTATGGTTTAGTCCGGACGGCGGGCTCGCAAGGCCTGCCGGGACGGCTGGGCTTCCGGTTGGGCCGTGGCGGGGCCGGTTTGAAGTTGGCGGCTCCGACTGCAGCATGTCTGAGGAACGCGTAGGCAGCTTGGAGGAGCTGAGCGGCTGGCCTGAGGAGCTGTGCCGCCGGGAGCTGCCGTCTGTTCTGCCCCGGCTCCTCATATCCTCTGTGGTCCGTTGTCCGCTTGCGTGGCGGCGGCCGGACGCTGTCTGCCGGGGCGAGCGCGAAGACGCTGGGGACTGAGGTCTGCGAGGCCAGGGCTTGGGCTCTGGGGCGCACAGACTTGGGAGGCCTTAGCGGGGCGCGGCGTTTTCCTCCAGTCTCTGCCTTGGTGGGGTTTTGTGCGTTCCTAATGGCGGGTCGGCGTGAGCTCCCCTGCGTGGGGCCGTGGGGACGGCGAGGACACAGAGCGGAGCTAGGACCCGGACGCTGTAGCGCCAGAGGGGTTCTCGGAGCCTTTACAAAGCCTCCGCAGGTTTGCTTCAGGTGTTGGCTTTCTGCTTCATTTGAGGTTTGTTTTTTTAAACTAACATTTATCCAGTACTTCCTATATGCTAGGTTCTGTGCTAGACGCCTTCACCGGTTTTGTCTTTTGTTTGTGGCGCTGGGGATCAAACCCAAGGCCGTGTGCGTGCTGGAGTAGGGCCCACCTCTGAGCTACTTTCCCAGCCCTGCGTCTGAGTTATTTGATGTCACTGCTGCCAAGGACGGATAATTTTCTGTATGTCTAGTGCCCTTGTGGTGTCACTGTCACTGCAGTCCTAGCCCCTTCTGTTACAAGGTGCTTCTCCCTTTACATCGTTGAGCTCACCTTCAACATAAAATTATACTCGAAAGGAAAAAAAATGACAGTTGAGAGAATCTCTACACTGCGCAGTGAAAGCCCAATGTAACTAAGTATTATTATATAGCAGTCATTCACTTAGGCATTAGCAAAATGTGTACCAAAGCCCTTTTTAGTTATTGTGCAGGTGTGGAATTTCTATCCTTGAAGAGTTCCAGCTTGGAAACAAATGACCATGCTCCTACTCGAAACCACTTACTTCGTACACAGCGTGTACCAGACATTGTGTTAGCTTTATGGGCTCAAAAATACGGAACATGGTTCCTTTTCCTCCCCTAAGGTTTATGGGAACTTCACTAAATTTAAAATTAACATTGCCATCTTGCTGTGTATCTCAAATTTAACATATTCAAGAGAACTCACATCTGTTCTTCCAGTTTAAGTAAATGGTTTTACAAACCAAAACCTTAAAAAAAAAAAACAAAAACTAACAAATACGAACTGAAAAACCTTGAGGTTTCTATCTTTCTTAGGAAATTCTTTCTCCCTTTAAGCTGAGTCAGTTCACCTATCTCCACCACTATTGCTACCACACTGATTCTAAACTCCTACCTCCTGTCTTATTGTTAGTAATTTCCTTATTTCTTTCTACTCGTGTCTTACAATCTATTCTTCAAAATAAGCTTGGAGTGAAAAATATAGGTCACATCATTTTCCTTCTGTTTAACCCCATTCTCCACCCCCATGACTTAATGAATTAGGAGTAAAATCTAGATTTACCTTTAAAGCTTCCCATGATATCCCTCTTTCATTCCTAACTAACTATTCTGTCCACAGATACATCAGGCTTACTTGCCTAAGACTGCCTCTGCCCAACCTCGTTTGTTTTCCCCCCCTTTTGAACATCTCATCATTCAGGTCTTAGCTCAGAAGTTACCTCCTTGAGGGGCCCTTTTAGAGCCCTCAGCCTCAGGTAGTTCCCCAGGCCCAGTCTGTTACACTTTTATTTCATTGTTGTGTTTAGAAGGCACTTTATCATTAACAAACAGTCTCCTTCTCCCCCTGCACTTTTCCCCTGAATTTGGTTTTGTTTATTCCTTTATGCCTAGCATGAAGACAATGCCTGGCACATGATAAGTGTTTGGTAAAGGAAAAAAATATTTCATGGTTTAAAAATGCTTGAAAGTGTCAGCGATTTTATTTTCACTGTTTGCAGTACATGAAAGAGAAGCTCACAATCCTATTCACCCTAATTATTTTAATATTTTGTGTTTTAAATATTATCTAGCCTTTATGTATGTAATCATGACTTATGATTACTTGTGGAAGAACAGTCTTTTTGATCTTCACTGAAATGTTTCCATAAGGCATATTCTGTCCTACTGAACTGTTTGCTGTTGTGAAAAGTGTACACAAAGCAAGATTTCGGGAGGAATCAATCCTTGTATTACTGTGATAATTTTTGTAGATTTGTATTTCTTGTGAACATATTCATTGATGACCCCAACAGCATTTTTACAGTAAAACATTTCTAGTAATTCTTAATGGTGTACAACTTTTGTATTGATGGTAGGGTAATTTTTGGTAAAGTTGATATGATAGGAATGCAAGTACTGTAATATGAAAAGACTTAAGACAAGTACAAATAAAGTAGAAATGATGAAGAGAAAGAAATTTCTGTCCAGTAGTAGAGACCAGGAGTTCATGGATTAACAGTGTGTTACTCTCTGTCAAAAGTATTTTATGAGTGGCCATGATTCGGAAAGGTAAATTTATGTCTTAAGTGGTTTTAAAAATATTTCTCTGAAGTATTTTCACAATTCTGTTTACCTAACATTAAATTTTTAAAATGAAAGTAAGCCAGTAATTTGAGTCTAATTTTAGTCTCATGGATTTTTGCTAAATTTTAAGAAGAGTCCTTTTTGAATTTCTTATCAGGAATGAATATTCTGTTACAATGATAACAGTATCTTCCTTAATTATTTTACTCTATGTATCAACATTCTGAGAGTTGGATTGAGCATATTCGTAAGTAAAATTATTTTGATTATATGATTTACTTTAATGTCATTGAGTTCTCAGTCCCAAATAAATCATTGGGGTTGATTTTACCATTTTGTGTTTCCTTCAATTTTAATCATTTTCTAATCATTCTCTGCAACCTTTAGTAATTTAAATGAGCAGTCTTCTTCAAAGTACACTGCTTAGTGTCATTTGGAAAAATTGACTTTATTTTTATCTGTCTTTTATCAGTCTCCCTTGATAAGATTTGCTTTCTTAGGAGAAAAGGGCAAGTTACAACTATAGATGGCTCAGTTACTCACATTTTCAGTTAGCTTATTTGTATTTCACTTGTTTATAAAATATTTATAAATTTGAATCTGAATTGCCTGTTGGGGTCTAATTTTTTCAGGTAACAATTATTTTTATCTTGAGTATAAACTGCATATTATTGTAGAACATTGAAACATGCAGGAAATCAGAAATAGTTAAGATGGTGAGAATGATCTCATTTCTGTATTTTTTTGTCAGCCTATCTATTCTGTGTATGTACATGTTTAAATTAAATTGGGATTATACTATTTTGGAATCTTTTTATTTAACTTTAAACTATGGTGAACTTTTTTATGCTTTTAAATATTTTAATGATAGTAGATGCTGTTTGACAGATGTATCCATGTCAGTTTAACTAGTGTTCGGTTGCTGGATATGTAGACATTTTTCTTTTTCTTTTGTTACTAGATACAACTTAGTAGTTTCTGTATATAGAATATAACATTTTGAAACTGTACAAAGTTGAAATTCGTAGTACTTACATATTCTCACATTTGGTGAAAACAAAGATTTTTGCTAATTGACAGTCTTACAAAATCTTATTTTGCTTTATAGAAATTTTGAAAATTATGATAGAAATGTTTTTACCTCATATGAACTACCTGACATTGGAACAGACTTTCTTTTCACAAGTGCTACCAAAGGTATAGTACTGATATCTTAAACTACATGTTATGAAAGTTCTTAAAATCTAGTCTCAGTTTTACATTATTCAGTTTTAATTGTGGCTCTTTATTCTAATTTATCAAACATACCTGAGATACAGGTAAATAGTAAATAATAGATCTTATGGGTATGTGTGGTATTGGTGTAATTATTAGGTGATTGAAAACTTCTGTTTTTAGGTTTTACTAATTGATGAATCCTTTATTAATTGAATTTAAAGTATTTGTGGTTAATTTTTAAATACTCTTGTAAAGTTATTCAATGAAAATTTGTGATTGTAGAAGTTATCTGAAGGCCTTTTATCATGTTTATTAATAATTGGTGAATTTCATTGTTTAGAAAAATGGAGCCAAAAATTTATTAAAGAAGTCTTAGAAGTGAAAAAGCTGAAGTATTGGGAAAACCAATTAACTAAAAGAAAACATTAAGTTCACAGACTGTATTATTAATTTTTGCATGTGTGTGTTATACTGTTTCTCTGAAACATGGTCATACTTCTTTTTTAAGTGAAAGGCACTAAAAGTACTTCTTGTCAAAATAAAACATTCATGATAATTTATTGGGATTAATTTCTAAGTTTCAGTTTTAAATAAATAACCATCAGAATTCCTTTTACTTTACTTGAATACTCTATCTGAAAAGTTTCTTAGAATTTTGTTCTCTATCACCAAAAAAGATCTATAGGTTAAACAAGGTTGTGAGTGTTCATTGGCTTATGAAAAACAGTAACTCTTTAACTGCATTGTGTTGTTACCTGCATTGTTATTCTTCAGGGTTTAGGCCATTTAAATTACTTAGAAAGATCTGAATGTTAAGGTATTAGTGTGGGTATGTTTTTATAGACAAAAAGCTTGAATGTGGATTTATATGCTGTACCCTTAATCCAGCAAGGGCATTTTGAATTGGTCACAAAGATGAAAAGCTAGAATGTAAGTCAATAATGAATGGATGATTCAGTACAAATTCATTACCACTACCAAAATATACCTTTGTAGGTGCCCATATAAATATTGGTTGGTCAAGGTAGTCATCTTCTTGGTTTTTGGTTTTTTTGAGACAGGATCTCACTGTGTAGTTCAAGCTGACCTTGAGCTCAGGTCAGTCCTCCTGCCTCAGCCTCCTGAGTGCTGGGATTATAGGTGTGTACCACTATCACACCTGACAGTCATCTTTTATTGCATAGAGTAGGCTTTATATTTGTTGCATCTCAAAATAAACTTTGAGTAATTTTTTTATATTCAAACCACAGAAATAGAAGGTAAATCAATTTCTGACGCTTTTGCGGGGGTGGGGGGGATTGCATTATATAATGCACTATATATATTCTATGTATAGTTTTTACTTAAGTAGGTACAATTGGTAAGTTAGACAATACCGAATAGATGTTACTAATACAAAACTAAATCATTGTATTACAGTCTTTTTTTAAAAAAAATATCCTTAGCTGGGCATAGTGGTACATACCTGTAATCTCAGCACTCTAGGAAGTTGAGGCAGAAGGATCTCAAGTTTGAGGCAGCCTGGGCAACTTAGTGACTTAGACACTGTTTCAAAAGGGCTAGAGACATAAATCAGTGCAAAGGCCTTGGGTTAAATCCCCAGTACTGCAACAAAACAAAAACAGCCTTTTCTAGTGATTTCAATTTTTCCAGTTTATTTGTGACCCAATTTGTTTTTACAGACTGTAAAATTATTTGATGAGATGATGTATGAATTAACCACTCAAGCCAGAGGACTGTCAAGTCAAAATGTAGAAATCCAGACCACTCTAAGGAATATTTTACAAGTGAGTCAAATGTTTGGTAGGTGTAGGGGGAAAGTGAGATTTTTATGCTGATATTGATTAGCCAGGTATTCCTTATTAATGGTCTACTGCTGGAAGTAGTCTTGTGGGCTTACAGATATGAATACAGAAAGATGAATCTGAATTTTTAAATATAGTTTTATGTTGGTTAAATATCTGCATTCTTACAAAAAGATAAGTTAGGATAGCATGCCCTACCTCTAATTTCAGGGGATATGTGTGGAATACCTGTCAGGTGGGTTGAGGTATGGGCTGGGATTCCAGGTAGCTTCCCAATTGTTCCAATACTGTATTGGTAGTTCTTTGATAGACAAGTTCTCTGAAAAAAGAAACAGCATCTCCTGTATCCCTAGCACCCAGCTTATTGTCTGATACCTCTTTTATTGTGCATAAAATATATATGTAGAGTGAAATGTCTTTCCTTATTTTCAGACAATGGTGCAGGTGTTAGGAGCTCTTACAGGATGTGTTCAGCATGTCTGTGCCACACAAGAATCCGTCATTCTAGAAAATATTCATAGTCTCCCCTCCTCTGTCCTTCATGTAATCAAAAGTACATTTGTACATTGCAAGGTGAGTAACAGGTCTGGGTCCACTTTAAATTAGCCTAGAATCAGTGGTGGGGGGACTGAATAAAATAGTGTCTATATAAGATTTTACATTTTAGTTAGTGTTATTGGGATGATCTTTTCCCCAGTACAAATAGCATGCATGCAGTAACTACTTCAAAATAAATGGTTATGTGGGTTGTTCACCTGTGCAACAGCTGCAGGAAACTGGAATCCAGGAATCATGTGCAGTGGACCCTCGAGTTACAACTGGCCTGACAACTTGGGTTATACCCAGAATTTTAGTTTTAACTTATGACCAAAGTCTTGAGTTATAACCCGAATGCTGGCTGCTTGTGCTTCCAGATGATCTCAGATACAGATTTAACAATGTATCTGAATTGTGGACAGGTTTTGGGAGGAACATTACAACATCCTTTCCTGTATGGGATTAATTGAGAAATCCTGGGCCAGTGTCTCTCTAAGGACACTGAGATCTGCCTCTATGCAGGAGAGATACTTCGAAGGCTGTGTAGAGAAGCCTTAGCCTTCAGTTGACAGCTTGAGTTACAGCCAGCCCTTGGGAATGAATTGCGTTTGTAAGTCAAGTGTCCACTCTATTACAAGTTTAGTGGCTTCATAAACAATTTGTCTAGAGAATGGGCTTTGGGCAGTGAAACACTGCCTATCACTTGCCACACCTGTGAACGGATCTCCAGTTACCCTGCATACAATTATGCTGGGAAGAACAAAGTGTCAGACCTGCAGAAGTTTTTCCAGACATCCGATGGTGCCCCTATGCACTTGAAATGAGGCCTGCCCGATGAAATGCTTTACCAGACAACCATGGCACTGATGCTAAGAGGGACCATCTACTGCCGTGTCACTGTCCACATGGCCCTGCATCCCAGAAACAAATGAGTTAGGCCGCAGAGGACTTAATGGCTTTTTGGCATAAACTTTGGATTTTTCTTTTTTTTTTTTTTTTTCCTTCCTTTGGATGGTTTACTTAACATTTTGCAAAAAAGATATGAAGACAGTATTTTGGTTTATGAAATGGTTTTTATATAGCCCATCAGATGTGACAGCATTTTGACAGTTAAAGAAGAGCAGCTGCTTAAAGAAAAGACTGTGCACAGTATGTGGGCTCCTGATTTCCCTGTAGGTTCTAGATGGAGGTTGCACACAGACTCATTCATGTCAGTCTACATTGAGGTTTTGGGGAATGGGATTGTCTTTCTACTCATGGAGCCTTTCTGGATCTAGATGAGACTGAAGACAGAAGTCAAGGGCAGGTACATGAAATGAGTGTGTGAAATCACCTTGGGAATTTTTCCATCTTGCAGTAAAATGTGACTAGAAATTACTTGCAGCCTATCTATACTCATTGGGTAGTTTTTTCAGAGGGTTATGTGCTTCATCCAAGATCTAGTGAAATTTTATGTGTAATTGTCCTTTATTTTACTCTACTATGGAAACAGAACACTTGTTTAGTGTTGCACTTTATATTTTTATTTATTTTTTTAAAATTAGATTTTATTGGTACATTTTAGATATACGTAATGATCAAGTTCATCATAGAGAATTTCTATCTGTACCTGATATAACTTGGTTTTTTTTCCCCATTCCCTTACCCTCCCTTGAACCCCTCTTCTCCTCCCCACTTACAAAGTTTGTTTCCATATTTTCCTTCTTTTCTCTCTCTTTTTTTTAACTTTTCCCTTCTTTTCCCCTCCCCTCTCCCTGTTCACCTCCCCATTTGAACATTTTCCTCTTATTTCACACTACATTTTAGTCCTTAAATACACTTTTGGTTTCTCACACCAGAGAAACAATGTGGTATTTATACGTGTGTGTCCCAATTTATTTCACTTAAGAGTATGTTCTCAAGATACATCTGTTTACCTAGAAATGTCTGGAGCATATCCTTCTTTATGGCAGAGTAGGACTACATTGTTTTAAAAAAAACACATCTTCTTATCCATTTACCAGTTGATGGTCATTTGGGTTGTTTCCAATATTTGACTATTACAAACTGTGCCATTGTAAACATAGATATTCATGTATCACTGTGGTATGAGACTTTTAATTCTTTTTTTTGTTTTGTTTTGTTTTTTTGTTTTTCTTCTGGTACTGGGAATCAAACTCACGACCTTGCACTTGCCAGGCAGGCGTTGTCCCGCTGAACTAAATCTCCAGCCCCTGAGACTTTTAATTCTTTTGAGAAGATAGGTGGAAAATCACTGGGTTCAGTAGTCCTAGTTTTTTGAGAAATCTCCACACTGATTTTCACAGTGGTTGCACCAGTCTACACTCCCACGAACAGTGGGGTAGGGTTCCTTTTCCCTCCCCAACTCCACCAGCATTTGTTACTGTTTGATTTCTTGATAATAGCCATTGTTTCCAGGGTGAGATGGAATCACAATATTGTTTTAATTTGCATCTGTCAAGAGACTGGTGATGTTAAACATTTTTTCATATATTTATTTGCTGTTCATATTTCTTTATCTGAGAAGTGTGTATTCATCTGAAATGCCTGGTTTTGGATTAGGTCTTTAAATTTGGGCGGTTTAATTTTTTTGAGTTCTTTATGTGTTCTTGATAGTAATACGTTGTCTGAGGAACAGCTGACAAACATTTTTTTCCCCATGTTGTGGATTGTTTCTTCACTCTGTTGGTGGTTTCTCTTGCTGTGCAAAAGCTTTTTAATACAATGAGATCCCAGTTGTTGATTCTTTGTGATAGTTTCTTTGTGATTGGGTTTTATTCATAAAGTCTTTGCCTGTACCAGTGTCTTCAAGAGTTTTACCTGTTCCATCTTCCAGCAGATTTAATGTTTCTGTTTTAATATTTAGATCTTTGATCCATTTTGAATTTAGTTTAGTGCATGGTGAAAGATATGGGCCCAATTTTAATCTTCGGCATGTGGAAAGCCAGTTTTTCCAGCGCCATTTATTAAAAAGGCTATCTTTCTTCCAGTGAATGTGTTTGGCATCTTTGTCAAAGATAACATGGTTGAGTAGGTCTGGAGTTGTTTCTGAATCTTTTAATCTGTTTAGTTGATCTTTGGATCTGTATTTTTGCCAGTACCATGCTGTTTTTATCATAGTAGCTTTATAGTATAATATCAAGTAGGGGATTGTGATGCCCCCTGCTTTGCCTTTGTTGCTCAGAATTGCCGTGGCTATTCTGGGTTTCTTCTGGTTCCAAATAAATTTTAGGATTTTTTTTCTCTAATTCTGTGACATATGCTGTTGAACTTTTGATCAGAATTGCATTAAATCTGTATAACAGTTTTGGAAATGTGGGCATTTTCACTATTGGTTCTTCCTACCCAAGAGCAAGGGATATCTTTCCATTTTCTGATATCCTCTTCAGTGTCCTTTTCCAAAGTACTGTAGCTTTCAATGTAGAGACCTTTTTCATCTTTTGTTAGATTGATTCCTAGGTATTTCCTTTTTTTTTTGTCCTTTGGATGCTGTTGTGAAAGGTTTTGTTTCCCTAATTTCCCTCTCAGTGAAGTTTGTTATTTGTGTACAGGAAGGTTATTGATTTTTGAGTGTTGACTTTGTATCCAGCTGTGCTACTGAATTTGCTCATTCTCTTCTCCTACTTCACTATTTTTTCCCTAACCTCTTTTAAATTTTAACCCCTGAGAGTAAAATTGACATATTAAGGACTTACATACTGCACTAACTGTAGGAAACTAGTACAGAAGGCAAGAGGGAAAGAGAAAAGGAAGAAATGAAGAACAGAGCAGTACGATAAACACAAAGAGACTAGAAACCACGTTCACACTGGTGTGAAGGAGAAAAAACAAAATCACCACAACAAAAAACAAGTGAGAAAGAGATAGGGAAAAATAAAGAAGAAAAAAGTTTACTTCCAGGTTTGTCTCTGCTGTCACTGGTAGACATTATGTGGAGACAGTCCAGATCTGTGTTGATTGATCCAAGCAAGCCAGCAGTAGCTTTCTGGAGGGGTAGTGGTAATCTCAGCGACCCTGCACCTTTATTTCCCCTGAAGTTCAGGCTGTGTTCTGGCCCTCCGGGGCCAATAGCAGACCCATTCAGCCTGTAGCAGTCAGCACACCCTCTTCGAGCTTGAACTCTGCTGGCAGCTGCTAGATGGACCCAGCAGTTTTAAATTCTGAGCTTGGATGGCCCCTCTCTCAGCCAGTCGCTCTCTCCAGCAGGACAACTGAGCCCTCAGCACTCACCTCTAGCTAGTATAGTCCTTCACTTCCATTGTTCCGTCTCTCCATGGAGGTCTCTGATTTTGCCAGCGGTCACCATGTGTCTGCAGGTTTGAACTGCTCCTCTTACACAGACCTGATTCAGGGAAAAGGCTCTGCCAGCTGCCTCCTTTGTTGAAGTTTCATTCTTTATTCTCCCCATGGGTTTCAATTCTAGCTTCAGATACTTTCTGGGTCCAGGAGACCCACTTCCCTCCTCCTTGTCTTCCTCGAATGACTATATTCCAGTGTCTAGATGGCAACTCTTGGAGAGGCTCTTTCTCTGCTGCTTACCAGTTTGCCATCTTCCCAGAAACAAAAACCAGTGTTGTACTTTAGACCGGTGTCTTTTTTTTTACGTTTTGAGACAGGGTTTCACTGTTCAGTTTGGCCTGGCCTTGACTTGAACTCGCTTTGTAACCCAGGCTAGCCTTGAACTTTGCAGCGATCCTTCTGCCTCAGCCTCCCAAGTGCTGGAATTATGGGCATGTGCCACCATGGCCAGCACTTAGACTGGTGTCTTCTTGATGTAACTATGCCACAAATTCTGCTTTATATTTTAAATGTTCTGGCTTTAAATTATGATTTGTTTTGACGAATAATACACGAGTAAAAAAATGAATGGTTATATGACAATCATAAAAGGGCCTTTTAGGTTTTTTTTTTAATTAAGAAAGAAATGATAAGATACATGTTGAGTCACAGTGATAATGAAATTATTCTGCCATATAGAATTGGTGAATCAGTGATTGCAACTTAATGATTTGGAGCCTGAACTTCTCTTTATACAGGCGAGTTAACCCTTAGCTCATTTATACATTTCAGAGTCTACTTAAAGGCAGAAAAGCTGGCCTAGAATTTGTTGGACCCAGGCAGTGTTGGTTCTGCTATTTGTTGGACGAATGAAAATCATTAGTTAATTAATACTTCTTTTTGGTGATAGGGTATTAAAACTTCATGCATGTTATTATTTCCCTTTTAGTTCTATAGTTGAAAGACAAGTTGAAGTTGTTTTATACATGAGTGTAGCTCTCAAAGTATATAACATAAAGTGGATGTTCACTAAAACATTTGTTTAATGAATATATGAGCCAGCCTAAAACAGTAATTTATAATCTTTGATAGTATGAATTAAAGTATATTTGGCTCTTGAGCTTTTTATGATTTGCTGTTTCTCTCATTTTCAAATTTGTTGATCAGAATAGCGACTCTGTATATTCTGGGTGCTTACACCTAGTTTCAGACCTTCTCCAGGCACTCTTCAAGGAAGCCTATTCTCTTCAGAAGCAGCTGATGGAACTGCTGGATATGGTTTGCATGGACCCTTCAGTAGATGAGAATGATGATGTTTTGAATATGGTACTAGGTAAGTGAAGAAAACTTAGTATATAAGGTAAAATGATAATTCATGTAGCAGTTAAATTATCAAACCTAAGATTGTTTCTCTTGATATGTTACACATTATACATAAAATATAATTCTTAGTGAATAAATTTTTAGTCTTCCAAATTTTGAAATTTATAAGTTTTGGTGTCCTAATACAGATTTGTGTATTTAATTAAAGCTTATATTAATTTATACCTTCTAAAGTGGTCTGTATTTGAAGATAGTATTTTTCGATGCTTTTCACCATAACCAAAAGCAAAAAGTGCAGTTTACATTCCTTCCCAGAACATATACAACTACGTGTATATGATTGTGAATGTGTACATGCACACCACATACATATTTATTTGTTATATGAATTTTACAATGATATACTCATTTTACAATGATGTACTCATTTTACAATGATGTACTCATTTTACAATGATATACTCAACTTATTTTAATCCCCTCTTTGGCTATCCCAGGTTAACCTTGAACTCATGATCCCCCTGCTTGAGGCTCCTGATGCTAGGAGTATAGACCAATGTCACTGCCCAGCTATACTAGTTTATTTTTAAGGAATTGGTGATTGTAACCACATTTATTGATTTTAGCACTCACTAATGGATTATGACCCAGATAATATATAAGGGCAAAGATTAAATTCATAACTATTATATAAAGAGAATACTATAGCTGGATTTTGTTCCGTGTGTCAGGGACCGTTTGCTTTGTAGCAAATCACCCTAAAACTCACTTTAAAGCAACCACTATTTTATTTTTCATAATTCCAAGTCTGCAGTTTAGGCTGGAATCAGTGGAGCCCACATAGTCCATCTGGCTCACTCGTGTATTTGCAGCCGATGACTTAACTCACATCGACTGTCAGCAGAAGTAGAAGCACTGACAAAGTCCCATGTGGCACATCGTTATGCAGACTAACCTGGGCTCAGTCACCTTCTCATGGTCTTGGAATTTCCCAAAAAAAGGGCAAGTTCTAGCATGCAAATACTTTCCAGATTTTCACTTGCCTCACTTTCGTTGTTCTCTTTGTCAAATCAAGTCGTGAGCTGTGCTCAGAGTCAGTATGAAAGAGTATGGATATAGGAAGAGCAGTTGTGGCCATTTGTACAAATTCTCTACCACATGCAGCAGAAAAGCTTTGTATGAATACTGTATAAGTTAGCTTTAACACTTCCTTGTTAGGTTTTCTTCCTAGCAGTTTGTCACTTTGGATGAAAATTGCAGCTGTAGGATACTTTGATTATAATAGAGCACAACTTCTCTATTAAACACTTTTAGTTTTATTTAAGTCATGGGATAAGTATAAATTTCAAAAGTTATTTTTCCACAATTTATAAGAACCTTAAAAGTATGACATTTATTTTTAGTAACTATTTTGAAACCATATTACTGATCTTAATTCAAATGTCGAATATTCAGTTGATACTTTTAAAAATAGGAGAAACTCACCCCATGTGACATTTGAATATCCTAAGAGATCTGTTGTTTTTCTTTATAGTTATTCATTCATTATTGGATATCTGCTCTGTTATTTCCAGTATGGATCATGCATTTCATGCCAATACTTGGAAGTTTATAATTAAGTAAGTTTGTTAGCTTTTACTTTTTTAGAATATATTTTCTGTAAACCAAATCCTAGTTTTCATGTTTTCTTAGGATGCATTTGGAATGTTTTTTGTGGGTGTATTAATGTCCACTGACATTGCTGTCAGACAGTCCATATCTTTTACATGAAACTCACAAAGCAGTTTGGGCTTCTTTGGATGATGAATCAGACTAGAGTAGACCTCAGCCACTTCCCTGCTACTATTACTGTTTAACCATAAAGTGTTCTGTGTCTAAGCTTAATAAATTAATCACTATAATTAGAACTTATTGTGATCCTTTCATAATATATATTTGAGTTGTTCAAACTTAAATTCATTTAGAAACTAATTTAACTTTCTGAAATTGGAGTGTTTTTGAGTTGTTACTAGGAAGAGTACCCATAGCATTCATCAGGTTCTTAGGGGTAGGAGAAGACATGATGGTAATGTGGAAATGATTAAATGAATACACACATGTATAAAATTAGAAACGTCAGTTCAATGTTTTCAGATATTCTGTACTTTTCTTGAACCATCAAGACATTGGGTTGCCAGCAAGTGTGGTGTGGTAGTTAAGAGTGTTTCTCCCGGGAGCCATACTACATGTACTGAGTCCATCCTGAAATCTCTGAATCTTTTGAGCCGTTGAGCAGTTTGGCTAATTTCTCTGAACTTTAGTTGGCTCATCTGAAAATGGACATAATAAGCATAGCACTTTCTTGATAGTGTTGTAATGAGTGCTGAATTCACCACTGAAATACTTGGAATTGTGTGCCACACTGAGTGCTCAAAACTTAGTTTCATCCTCATCATCTTGCCACTCTTCTCCCTTCTCTTCCATTTTGTTCCCAACAGTTAGATTGCTCTTAAAAAGTATATCAGATCATGTCCCTCTGCGGCTTCAAATCTATCCCATTATACCGAGTAACAGCCTAGTCCTGTGTGGAACCTACTGCCATTACTGGCTCATCTTGTGCTGCTCTCTCCCTGCTCTTGGTTCCCCAGACTTCCACATCCTGGCCCAGAGCCTGTCACAGTTTCTCCCTCTGCCAGAGATGCTCCTCTCTCAGCACCTTGCTAAGTCTCATTTATATTTTGAGTTCACAGTTTACATATTTTATGCTTACAATCCTTTGATAGCCTCAATTCAAGATCAGGTCTCTGTATTACAGCATTTTACACTTCTCTGTCATTGTATTTAGCACAACTACAATTAGTTATTCTTACTGAAATTCTGTCTCATGCTGGACCAACGAGTTCCATACAGAGGGACACAGATTATATCCATTTGATTGACTGTTGTCCCAGGGCCTAGCAGAGTGCCTGGCATATAGTAAGAATTTATTTATTGTTTTACACAGGAAAAAAGAGCTACTTAAACATAACTGCTTCAGAGGTAAAGTTAGTACACTGGATTATATGATGTGTAATATATACAGTGTGATGCATGGTGGGTTATATATTGTGTAAATAAATATTTTTATGGCCTAAGTTACTTGATATGTTACTTTTGGTGATTGTATTTTCTTTTTGTTCATTCAGGCAAAGCCTTAAGCACCAGTCAGTTATAAAGAGCCAATTGAAACACAAAGATATAATTGCTAGCTTGTGTGAGGACATGCTTTTCTCCTTCCATTCTTGTTTACAGTTAGCTGAACCGATGCCACTTTCAGATGCACAGGTAAAATATTTATCAGTACTTTAAACAGTAGCTCTTATTTCCTTTGGCAGTTACTAAATCTCATTTAAACACATGGATCACTGTACCTAAGGGGATTTTGACTCCCTTCCTTCCTTCCTTTTTCCTTCTTCCTTTCCCTCAACTTTTTCTCTCACTGTTTCCCTTCTGTCTTATCTTTTCTCCTTTCTTCTTTCTGTCTTTCTTTCCTTCTTCGTCCTTGCCTTGCTCCATAACCCATAACTACTTTTAACCCAAAACTGTCTTGTATACCTAACTGGTATCATCTCTAATATCTTCCTCTCCTTTACATATTAACTGCTTGGTGAAAGCATACATTTAAGATTGGGATATACTTACATTTATTTTGATTTCAAGAAGTTATAGTGTTGAATTGGCATACCACTTATGAAATAGATTATGCTCTGAAATCTGTAACATAATTTGGGAGAATTATAGGTCATTTTCCTGTAATAATATTCTGCATGGTGCTTTTTGTTCGGAGACAAACACTCTTATTTTTGTTCCACAACCCCATATTATAGGATTAGGAGTACTCAGGATCTAACAACTTCCCATTGTATAATAACTTCGATGGGAAAATGAATTGAAAGTTTTTTCCTAGGGTAGTAGCAACACAGCTCTCCTCTTGTGGACCTGCAAGCTGATCCAGGGACTTGTGTGCCTATGTTCTTCCAGATCAGGCACTATAGGGAGGGAGGTGTGGAGATTCATCCAAGTCCCAGGTGGTAGCACTTCTGGAGGAAGGGTGGTGTGGAAGGACAGACCCTGGATGAGGGTGGAACTTTGAAAAGGAGTTGTGAAGGTAGTGAGAAGGAAGCAGGAAGCTTTAGGAAGGGGCTAACCTTTATTTTCTTGCTTCTTTCCTTTTTTTCTGTTCTCCCTTTAAATCACTTGTTTTTTCCCTTTGTTTTTGTTCCCACTTCTTTCATGTACCCTCTCTGGATCCTCTCACCTTGCTGAAAGGGATGTTATTTGGCTGAGTATCCTGATTTGTCAGTGGCACCAAGGTTGTTCCTTTGACTGCCTTTAGCCTGTGAATCCTGTCTTTAACCCCAGCCACCCCTTTCCTGTTTTCCTCGTGCCCATGTTGACACCACAGACTCTGTGACAAGTAATTGGAGAGCAAGATTAGACAGATTCCTGGACAGTGGGAGTGCGGGAAAGCCGAGCAACAGTGTAGTCTCAACGGTGTAGTCTATGGGGCAAGAGGAACTGAAGTCTGGGGACACCCAGCCAGGATGGCTACTTATACATGGAGTATCTTAGTTTATCATACATAAACTGCTGGTGTATGCAAAGCAGAGAATTAAATTGATTTCAAGCACATCCTCATGTTTGTGCACTTGTGCACACAAGAGTTACGATTGTGAGCAGCTACACTTACTGCCATTGCCTGTCCTGGACGTCTGAGATGGATCATAATGTTTCTCCGTTCTGACTCTAAACTGATCCGCAATGCCCTCTGCTGTTCACTATTGATACTTATTTAGGAATCAAAATTTCCCAAGCAGTTTGTACCTTTCTTCTCAGTTTGTTTGGGGTTCTTCTGTTTGTTTGCAAACAAGGTAATATACTATTTATTTTTACTAATGTGCAATTTAATTTTTTTGAAATACCTATGTTGTCATTTGGTATTTGGATTGTTCCTACCAATAATACAGAGAATAGGGGGCTGGGGATTTAGCTCAGCGGCACAGCGCCTGCCTGGCAAGCGCAAGGTCGTGAGTTCGGTTCCCGGTACCGGAGAAAAACCAAAAAAAAAAAAAAAAAAAAAATACAGAGAATAATTATGTTTACTTGTAAAAATTTTATGCTGTATTAACAGATCATCTTAGAAAATACAAGTGTAGCTAAGTTTGTGTCTTTATTTTTATTATGCTTTCTTCCATTTTTCTTCTTTTGAAGGGACAGGATAATGTTGACTACAAATTATTTCAGAAAACACTCAAATTGTGTCGTTTCTTTGCCAATTCACTTGTGCACTACACTAAGGTAAGGCCTTATTTTTTTTATAATGCAGAAATGTTAAACCTACACACTAAATTATCAGTTGTCCTTTTTAAATGATTCCTTCTAAAACCAGTCTTTTGCAGTTATTTTGGTAAGTATATTTTTAAAAGTTTTTTAAACTACTGTAGTGTAAATTTCTTTATTGAGTACCTAATATTTAAGTTGCTGCCATCATTATTTTTATTCAGTTCTCTGAAAAAAATTATTTCTACATATAAATATAAAAAATTATTTCCATAAGTGTATCAATTTTCAGAAAATATTTCAGTTTGCCTTTACCATTTACAATTTCTGGTATACTTCTGTGCCGTTAAAGTTTCAGTGTTAAACCTTTGAAACTAACAATTTGAATGAGATCTGCATACTTGTGAATCATCAGAGTAGCAGTGATAGTTGATATATGAGTAGAATAAAAAAAGTATCTGGGGAGATTATTGGCGAGAATAGAAGACAGTGAAAGAAAATTAGTAATAGATGTTAATGACTTTTCAAAAACCATTGTCCATGTTGAATGTAGCTTTAACCTTGTCTTATTTGTGAGGAAGGTAAGAATCTGCAGGGATTTTATTATAGTCAGAATTCTGTGGTCCATGCCCTGGCTGCCAACATATTACTGTCCTATTTGTCAGCTTCTTATGCTGGGTACCTTGCAGCTTGCAAGGGGGTGTGTTCTAGGGTGAGAGAGAGACCGAGAGAAGTGCCACTCATCCATCTAATGTTTGCTTGGTATACAGAAGATATAATTCTCATTAATAATGACTTTAAAAAATCATTTTGTTAGGAATTTAAAAATTTTTAAGTTGATCACAACTTAAAATCACCTTCACTTCAGTCTGAGCCTTACTGATTTTTAGTTATGTGATGAAGTTATTTGATTTCTGAGCTTAAGCTTTCCAGTCTGTGAAATGGGGATAATAACATGTAATTAGTTTTCTGAGAGGACTAAAATAAAGTAAGTTGTGTGAATTGTTAGCAGACTTTAGGGCATTGGAGTCTACTTCTGGAGGTGGTTTCTAGATCTTTTCTGTCCCAAGCAAAGAGCTGAATAGAACAAGCAAAAAGAGTGGCAGATTTTCACATTTATTAGAGGTAGACAAAATAAATAAGATAGGAAAAACATAAAATGAAGGGTAAGGGAGAAACTGGCTTTGTAGAAGGAGTTTGGGCTGAGTAAAAGAGAGAAAAAATAAAAATATAAAAGTAAAAGTACATTTGGGGTACAGGGTGCACCCGGAGGACAGCCGATGGAGAATTCTTCATGGCATCTCTGTCCTTTCCTTTTTTCATATTTTCCCATGCTAATAATCACACACACAGTTTATCTTACCAAAGCCCTGCTAGGATTCTTAAGGGAAGTCCACATAAGGGATCCAGAGAATTGTTTTGCCCATATGTTCTGGGATCTGGTCGTGTTTCTCTGTCCAGCCAGTTTAGACCATACCCTGTCTTCCTATCTCAATATCACTTGGTTCGTGTCTGGTTGCATTGTATGTGCTTATAGTAGTTTTAGCTACTAATCGTGGTTATGATGTAGTCCTAACTGTAAAGAATCTTAGATACTTAGACTCATCCTCCTTTTCATTCCCATGTAAGACTTTGTTTTTTAAATGTGACACATCCATGGTTTTACTTTATTTTGCATGTTTTTGGGAGAAGATGTATATAAGAAATCATGTTATATAAAGAGTGAATAGAGCTTTTTTATTTTAGGAATTTCTTCCTTTCCTTTCTGATTCTTGCTGCACATTGCATCAGCTTTATCTTCAGATATACAGGTAAAAAGTATGCTTTATTATTTAAATGTAAGAATTCAGAGTTTAAGTCTATAACATTTTAAAATAAAGCAGAGTAATTTTTCATAGTATTTTAATAAATTTTTATTTGCTTAAAATAATTGGAGATGAAAGCTTTTGAAGGGTAGATTCCACATGTTTTATTTATGTTTGTATGAACTAGTGCTTAATACATGAGCGATAAATAATTGTTGAGGTGATAAATACCAAAGGGGAAAAATTTTATATATATATTACATGTTTTATTTTATATTGAGATATTGTTTTTTGTTTGTTTTGGTAGATCTGAAAATTTATTTATCTGAAATTAGAAGTTAATTGTTCTAATTTCTAATGCTATAGCATATTGAGCACAGAAGAAGAAAGGAATACTAAGCTTAAAATGAAATCAGTAGAAATTATTCAAATGAAATAGAGGAAAGAGCTGAACAGAATAACAGTTACATGTGGGATAATATAAAATAACCAAGCATACATGTAAGTGTAGTCCCATAAGGAAAGGAGAGGATATATATTAAAATTTATCTAAAGACATAATGGATAAATGATTTTCAAATTTTTATTTTTGTATAGGATAATCCATAAAGTCACTTATTTTTAGAGTTTTGCTATCCTTGGGAGGTGGAAGGCTTTTTTTGTTAGTATGAGATTTCTTCTTTTAGTACTGGGAATTGGACTCCGGGCCTTTGCACTGACCTATAGTCCTCAGCCCTATTTTTTAATTTTTATTTTTGAGACAGTCTCATTGAGTTTCCCAGACTGAGTTCAAACTTGTGATCCTCCTGCCTCACCCTCCCAGAGTGCTGGGCTAACAGGCATGTGCTAGCATGTCCCACTTGGTTTAGGACTTATGATTTATTATTCTCAGTAATGGATGTATATCATTTATAAAACAAAATATTTTAAACCTTATCAACTAAAGTTATGATAGTAGCATTTCTAAGGAAAAACCCAGATGTACTTCAGATAGGCTGGTTGCCATGCTCAGTGTTGAGACTCAGAAATTTATAGGAGAAGAGCATATGTAGGAGTTAAAGATAAGCCTTCTTGAGGTTTTTTATTTTGCTTCTGTTTGGCTTTACAATATTGCTAAGATAGTTCTGGGAAAGTCACTTAACTTATCTGACTCTCATTCTTCTCATCTATAAAATGAGATAATAATAGCATCTGCCACCAGGCCTGGTAGTACATGCCTATAGTCCCAGTATAGTGTGAGGCTGAGGCAGGAGGATCATAAGTTCAGCTTAGGCAACTTAGTAACATAGTGAAACCTTGTGTCAAAGATTTAAAAAAGGTTGGGATTGTAACTGAATTGGAAGACTCTGGAGTCAATCCCCAGAAGTGGTTATTGTGGTAAACATTCAGTAAATGTTACTCTCTTCGTTGCTCACTACCAGTATCAGAACCTACAAGAGTGCCTGTATGAAGGCAGATGTTCTCTGGATTTGTTCACCTCTCCTGGGAAGCCAGACTGCTCAAGGAAAAAGTCTAGTGCCTGTCAGCTTCTATGTGCATATTAGCATTTTTCAAAATCTTTATTAGTTTTTATTGTACATCATAATTTAGATGGACTAATGACAACTGAATTGATAGTTACGTCAAAAGAGCCCTAAATCTGACACTAACATAATTATCAGTTCATTTATTCAGCAGTTCTATATTTCCCTGATCCATTTAGTCTCTTAGACAACTTCTTATACTTGTCCCTTTGTAAGCTTCTATATCTCCAACACCTGTCCATTTCTTATTGTTAAGGCCTTGTTACTAAGTTGAAGCAATTAGAAGTGAGCGTCCATACACTCCCTTTGTTAACTATTCTACCAGTATTTAGGGCCTGCATTCATTCTCTTGCTCTCTGCAATAAGTCTTGTGTGTGCTAACGCCATCCTCTCCATTTTGTGGTTGAATTACAGTCACAGACCTGCACAGGCACCTTATTCTAGTAGTTATTCCTTTTTCCTCTTATGACATCAGTCTTCCCTCCCTACTGGACCATTCTCAGGTGAGTACAAGCATGCTATTATTTTTTCCATCTTAATAATACAAAACAGTGAAAATCTCTTTGACTCTCTATTTCCAAAAACCCTCTCATTGCTTGTTACAGCGAATTCCTAGGAAGAGCTGTCTATTCTGCTGTCCCTACTTGCTTTCTTGAAATTATTCCAGTCCAGCCTTTTGCCTACCACTGAAGTGGCTCTTGTCAGGGTCCTCGTTACCTCCATGTTGCTGTTGCTGCATCCAGTGGTCCATTTCAGTCTTCATCGTATGCAGCCTGTCAGCAATACTAGACATTTTCTTTCTTTTTTGGGGGGGTGGGGGTCTTTTTGCGACAGTCTCACTATGCAGTTCAGGCTGGCCTTCAACTCACTTTGTAGCCCAGACTGGCCTTCAACTCGCAGCGATTCTCCTGCCTCAGCCTCCTGAGTGCTGGGATTACAGGTGTGTGCCACCACACCTGGCTAGATATTTTCTTTTGAACACTTTCTCTTCTGTTAGTTTCTAGTATATATCTCCCTCTTGGTTCTGGTCTCATCTCACTAGCTACTCAGCTACTCTTCTTCTCCCCAGTGCTCAGTCCTCAGGCCTGTTTCCCCTTTATCATCATTTAGTCTCAAGATTTTATGTTAATACCTCTTTCTTTAATGTCTTCCTGCACTCAGGACATATGCACTGAAATTGGCTCATACTGAACTCTTGAATTCCACCCGTCCAGTCCTCACAGAATCCATTCCTCTTGTTCCAGTTAAATGACAACTTCACTCTTCAAGTCAGTGGGTAAAAACACCTTGCTGTGATCTCTAATCCTTTAGCATATTAGGAGAATATTGCTTCAGTATAAGTATATATATTTTTATGTTTACACACACCTGCAGAATCCAGCTACTTCTCACCAACTGAACTGCCCCCATCTTCTCTGAGCAATTCTTATTTTTATGCCTGGATTTGGCAAAACATCTTCCCTGCTATCTGTATTTTTACTCTTGCTTTGCTCTAATCTGTTCCATACAATAGTGAAAGTTATACAAACGTTCATCATGTGAGTTCTCTGCACAACCCTCAAATGATTTTCAACATCATACTTGCTTTTCCTTGTTCAGTTTTTCTACATAGCACTTAACATCTACTTACTATATTACAGTAGTCCCCCGTTATCCACTGGGAATGTGTTCTGAGTCGTCCATTGGATGCATAAAGCATCTGATAGTACTGAACTTGCTATGTTCAGTTGAATAGTATTGAATTCTGCTATATTTTTTCCATACATATGTACCTGTGAAAAAGTTTAAAATTAGCAACAATAAAATAGAGCCATTATACTAATGTGCTATGATAAAAGTTATGGTCTATCTCAAACTACCTTGTCATTCTATACTCACCTTGTGAGGAGGTGAGATGATTCACTGCCTATGGTGTGATGAGTGAGGAGAATGACATAGATAATGTGGCACAGCTTTAGGCTACTGATTAGTAACTAAGACAACTGGCAACTTATTGGCATGTACCATGTATAGCATGGACACTCTGGACAAAGGGATGATTCATATCCCAGGCCAGATAAGGCAAAAGCTTGAGGTTTCATCTTGCAAAGCAGAACATCACGCAACCTAAGATTTAGGGATCATTTCTGAGTTTTTCATTTAATATTTTCAAACCACAATTGATCATAGGTAACTGAAATTGCAAATAAAGAGGGACTGCTATGTATATTTCTTGCTTTATTATTCCCTTTCATTAGAATGTAAACTCTACAAATGAAGTGACTTTGTATATTCTGTTTACTGCTATACTCCCCACTCTTTGAATAATGTGTGGCATGTATACAAGGGCACTTAAAAATATGACAAATTAATATAAAAACACATCATTCAAAAAATAAATATTTTGATGTGCAGTAGCTCTAGTTCAATTGTATGGAGTTTCATTACCTGTATTTTATTTGTGTCTTTCATCTTATATTTAATCTTCACGATAACTAGATCAGTGTCACAAGTGAAGAAACCGAGGATCACGGAGGTCAAATGAATGAACTAAAGTCATATAACTGATAGCTGACAAACTGCATTTCCATCATAAAGGGTGCTTTTTCCAGCACAGTGGAAAGACCTCAAATATTTATGTCAAGTATATTGTGTTGGATGCTGTTTGTTGTTATCAACTGCAGGGTGGGTTTTCTTATGCACTGTCATGTTTACCATAATTAAAATAACATCACAAAAATATTAAATATGTATTCTACATATTACATTAAAGTTTAGTTTAAATCCCAGTTCAGTTACTGAGACATTTCCATGAATATTTTTACAGCCTCCTTCAGTGTAGTATGCAGTTTACTTCTTATAAAGAAACTTCAGCTTCTGAAAAGCAGCATTAATTCATAGTAAATTCAGCATTTTAAAACAACTTTCAGTAGGTATAATTAAGCCAGAATTTATCAGAAGTATTTTACATACGGTGTTTTTACTTGTTGACTTAATGTTCATATTTTTACATACTTTTATTTATTCTTTCAAATGGTATTAAAATACATCAAAACAATACTAAAGGGCTGGGGTTGTAGCCCAGCAGCAGAGCACTTGCCTAGCATGCACAGGCCCTGGATTTAATCCCCAACACTACAAAAAACCAAAACAAACAAAAAGCAATATTAAGGATTTCTCCAAGATTGAAAACTTCTAATTTTGTAGAATTATAGCTATATTATTATAACTGATACAGTTCTGGTATTAATTCAGTACTTTGACTGTTTTGCTGCTTTATAAAAATAGATATAAAGTGTGTATTTGCACCACTATGCCATCAGTTTGTAGTGTTTGCCTCTATCTAAATTTAGAAGATAGCTGTTACTTTTTCTCCTTCCTTTCTAGCAAGTTCCCCCCCAGCCTGTATGCTGCCAGGGTTTCCAAAGCACATCAGGAGGAAATAGCAGGTACTTTTCTGGTGACACTTGATCCACTCATCAGCCAGCTGCTCACATTCCAGCCTTTTGTGCAGGTGGTTTTGGACAGTAAGTTAGGTAAGTTTCAAAAGCGATTGAGTGTTAAGTCATGTGCAGTTAATTATGACTTGTTAGAGGTAGTTATTTCCCCTTATGTAGCCATTATTTTTTAAAATGTAAAAGTTTATTATTTAAAATTTCTTTTACATTATTGAAATATATTTCTTATTTTAAAAAATCATTCCTCTTATTTATAACACACATTTCTGCTGGAACATTTAGGGTATGTTTTTACCAGTTTGTTGTAAATTAATGCGTCCTTTGGTTTATGACCTGGAAGACCTGCCGTGTGACCTGCAGTTCCCACAGTGCCTGCTGTTGGTTGCTGTCATGGACAAGCTGCCCGCTCAGCCTGAGGACGTGCAGGCCCTGTGGTGCACAAAATGTCAAGTCTCAGAAGCTGTGAGCAGGTAGCACACGTGTTACTTATTTCCATGGGCTAGAATACCCTAGTGTTTGGAATGGTTTTAACCACTTACCAGTCCAGTTATTTAAATACAAGATAACCAAAAATTGCATATTTTGTTCATTAATTTTTATAAGGTAACAGGAAATACAAATATGACAATTTTATCAGATTTATTCAATATAAGAACTGACTGATTTAAATGACTCTTGCCTGAGTGATGCTTGGTGCAGTCAGTAAGTAAAAAAACATGCTGCCCAAGTGACACTTGGGGTAAACTGTTAAGTGGTTAAAAAGAAGGTTTTTCTGTATGTCAGGTGTTCTAGTTAAAGCTACTATGTAGAAAAACTACTTTATATAAATAGATTTATAGAAATGTATGGCAGGTACACTCTTTCAATGTTCTTCAGAACTTGGTGCCTACTGGTGAGCATTATAAATATTGACTGTAATAGAGGAGATACAAGTAAGAACATGTAGAAATGAACTGTATAAGTGAAAAATGTATCTTGAAACTGCATTGTCCTCATCCTCCTTGCCAACACTGGGTGTACACTCTAGTTTCTTACTCCCTGGAGTCTTGCTATGCTCTAATATTGTCTTCTGTCCTTTAAGCCATTCTGTCCTGTTCATCTGCCTAAACCTGGCTTTCAGCTTCCTTCGCTCCTGCTTGAAACCTGAAACAACGTCAGAATCCTTGGTGCTACATTTAAAGCCCATCCTGTTTGCTCCTCATGCTTTCATTCATTTTGACCACATGCCCTTTGCTTCTGTCTGACTGCTTATTAATGTCTACTTTTACACGTGCTTTGTCTTCCTTACCTAGTTATATTGTACTTCTTTTTGATTTGTCATTTAAACCCTTTATGAAGGTTTCTTCAAGGATTTCAGTCTTAAAGCAGCACCTCCCTATCTGAACTGTAGTACTTATAATTTTATTTATAATATCTAACTTAGTTTTTTTTTTTAGGTTCTATGGAACTTTAACTTTGCATAATTCAGTATTATGATTAGCAGGTAGTAAATGATGAAAAAAAGTCCAGGGAAATTCTTTTCCTTTTAGTAGTTTTTCTGATTATGAATTTATTTTACACTGTGTATACATGTTCACATATATTAGCAACTGTTACTGATTGTATCTCTTGAAATGTTTTGCTCTGCTAAAATAACCTTCCATATGATGTATTTCTATTTTACCTGCTAATTATTGAATGTTCTTAATGTTTGGTTCAATGTTCTCCATTTCCCCTGCAGGCAATCTCTACTCCAAGCCATTTTCTACAGTTTTGAGCAGTGTTCTGGTGAACTCTCTCTACCTGTTCATTTACAGGAAGTGAAGAGTAAAGGGCAAGCTGAGGTGGCTGTCACTTTGTATCAGCATGTTTGTGTTCATCTATGTGCATTTATTGCTTCCTTTCACCCCTCACTATTTCCTGAACTGGTAAGTATGTTACTGCTGGGATAAGCAGAGGTTGCATTTTTGCTTTCTTTTCAATGAAATTGTGAATTATATGCAAAAAAGAAGTGGGAAGAGTTAACAAAAACTCCTTAAGAGTATTATTTCCTTATTTTACCCTGCCCTAGATGGTAATCCTCAGTTCCTATAGTATGAGATCTAATATTTAGCTAAAGTATTTGAGAAAACATTTTGAGTGAGGAAGTGTGGAAAAATAATTGTGGGAATAAAAAACATGTACAGTTTTATTAAAGTTTTGTAAAAGAAGTAGCAATCAGTTTGTAGTAGTGGGTCTCTGATAGACTTTAGGCATAATGTAGATATTTTTCATTTTTAATGGCATTGGATTAGAAAAATAGAAAATTCCTTCTTAAAATTTAAATACAGATCAACATTATTTAAGATATACAATGAGTATAGCCACCACATATTAAATATATTGTATGTGGATAGGTAACGGAAGAAAGAAAACTGGAAGCTTATAGTTTGTTGTTTTAAGGATTTTAGACTACTTAAAGAATCTTTGAATACTAATGATGAATACACTTTAAATAAGTTTTGGTTCCTCATAGCCCAGTGCAATGTTAGCATATAGTTGGTGCTCAATAAATGATGAGGGAGTGCTATCACATGTTCTTTCAGTATTACAAAGTAGAACTTTCTCGTTGAGGATCTGTTGTTTGGACTCTGATAATACTCTTATTTTACGTTGAGAAATGTAATGTTAATGATAATTTATCACTAACTATAGTGTATTAAATTAACTTTACTGTTTTTCATTAGGATGCTGCTCTGTTGGATGCTGTGCTTAGTGCTAATATGATCACGTCTTTGTTAGCTATGGATGCATGGTGCTTCCTTGCTCGGTACAAAACACTTATGTTTTGGTGTTTAGTAGTGACTAATGGTAAATGATTTCAACTGTAAATTTATGGAAAAAATGTTTTCGTAATCTTGCAAAAGCATCACAAAATGGTTTGATTGCCTATTATAGCGTTCACTTAGGAAACTGATCCCCTTTCTTTGGCACAGGCCCACAGATGAATATTTATTAATAGTTTTGTATGTTGTGATATTCCTTGGCCATGGAAATATGGTTACACATACCTGATCTGAAATGCTCTAAAATCTGAATGATTCAAGCACTGACATGATGCTACAAGTGGCAAATTCCATTCAATGAAACTTTGCTTCAAGCATAAGATTACTGAAAATATTTTATAAAATTGCTTAAAGCTATATGAAAGATAAATTAATTCATGGTTAGGTTTGAATCTCATCCCCAAGATACCTCATTATGTGAATGTAAAATTCTAAAATTCAAAAAAGTTGTAAATCAGAAGCATTTGTTCCAAAGCATTTTATGTAAAGAATACTCACCCTATAAATAGCAGCTTGTGTCCTCATCAGAATATTATTTATGGAAGTTTATCTCCTTGCTTTTCTGAGTAACTGCAGGAATGCTTCCTTTTCTACTGCAGGTATGGGACTGCAGAACTCTGTGCACACCATGTCACCATAGTGGCTCATCTGGTGAGTAGAATTACAAGACCTAAGACACCTACTTTCCATAGATTTTCTTTGGGGATATAAGTTTAAAGAATGTGAAGCTAGGAGCACTGGTGTACACCTGTAATCCCAGCAGTCTAGGAGTCTGAGGCAGGAAGATCACAAGTTTGAGCCCAGCCTTGGCAACTTAGTGATTTATTTAATAAGACCTTATCTCAAAATAAGAAGTAAAACAGAGCTGGGGATATATAGTTCCAGTGTAAAGACCTTGGCTTCAATCCCTAGTACCACAAGAAAGAAAGGAAGGGAAGAGATGGGGGAGAAGAGAAGGAAGAGGAAGAAGAGGAGGAGGAGGAGAAAAATAGAAAAGGAGAGTTAATACGGTAGCTAAATTGTTTTGGCAGTTTGTTCTATATGCTGATGGTATTAAGAAAGATGTACTGAAAAACTTGGGACATTTTTTTATCAAAAGTTTACAGAGTTCCATGGGAAGAAAAGTGAGCAAGGAAGTTTGGCTAAAAATTAAAATTAAATGCAACTATAAAATAAGTCAGTTGTAACATTGATGACCAAAAGGTTATTTCTTTTTCCCTTTTTAATATGACCTCAGCTGACTCTTGATTTGAGAGAGTGAGCTGAGAGGGAGTAAGTTTGGTGACCAATGCTTTTAGGAAAAGCAGTTATGTTTTGTTAGTGGGTATAAAGAAAATGTGACTTAATAATGATTTCTTTTAATCTTTTCAAAGTTATTTTTTAAATTCTGAGATGTTTGATGATGATAGGTGATTACAAACTGCTTTTGTCCCTGGCCTTTTATAAAGGTCTTGTGTGACGCTTTCTACTTTTTTGTTTCTTGTTTTGTTTGTTTTTTTTCCGGTACTGGGAATCGAACTCACAACCTTGCGCTTGCCAGGCAGGCGCTGTGCCACTGAGCTAAATCCCCAGCCCCTACTGTTTGTTTCTTAGTAACATTATTGTGGCATATATTTCTTGGTTTACCTTTTAAGGATTTTGTATAGAAGTCTGGTGAGGTGTATGATAACCTGAGCAGCTAACATCTAACCTCCAAAGCTAATGGTCTGAATCATCACTTACTGTACCAAATCCTTAACACATCTTGCATAAAACAGAGTGATTTTTGTGTTAGGTGTTTTATACCTCAGTTTTCCTCTGAATAAAAATTCTGCTAGTGCCTTATAAGGACTTGATTTCTTCTAGTGTAGGACAGGAATTGATAACACTGCGTTTATAAAGTCTTTTAATGAAGCTTCTGTGTTACACAGTTATATCTATCCTCTATACTATTATGCTCAGATCCTGAAAGGCTCCATGATTGTCTTTCAGTAGGAGGATTACCATGCTAAATTATAGGAATGCCAGTTAGAAATAGAGATTATGAAGTATTTTTAATTTAATATCAAAGTTTCACTCCCATTATGAAAATAACCTAGTTTTATGGAAGAAAAAAAAGTTAAAGAAAAACCCCAAATTAAAAATTAAAATATCTGTAATCTTTTCCTTAAAAAGAGCCACTATTAATATTTGACATACTCTCATTTTATAGAATCTTTGTAAATCAGTCTCTTCTCTCTCTCCTGGTTTTTCCTAGATAAAATCTTGCCCTGGAGAATGTTACCAGCTCACCAACCTGTCACTACTATTGAAGCGCCTCTTCTTCTTCATGGCCCCAACCCATCAGGCAAGGATCCTATCTTAGTTACTGTTGTTGAACAGCCACTGAGAAGTGCTTTCAGATTCCATCAAAGGGCTTTTCCTTACTCCCATTAAATATATTGTAAATTTGATTTGTGGCTTACGTTTATGGAACTAATTTAGTATGCTGTCTAAAGCAGAGCAGGGCTAGATAACCTATTTGAATACTGAGCCTATGATCTTGAAATTCTGTACTACTCAGTCAGCTGAGACAGTAGTAAGCAAGGAAGCTTGACTAAATCAATCTTGTTGGCATATTTAGAATATTAGAATATTTTGTCTAAACTGTAAAAGGTAATAAATGCTTTAGGAACAAGATAAAATATCTGATGTAACTAATAATGAAATACTTTAACATTCCTTAGTGCATTTATGTCATGTTTCATTTAAACTGTTATTTAATTTGGAAACAAATATAGCAACAACAAAAAAATAATGCAGGTTCATTGAAGTTACCTTGTCTGGTACCTAGTGATACTACTGATATTAATACTTAGTTCTTATGCACTCATTTATCCATTTATTTGATGTTACTTTTGTTTCTTCAACAATTTTTTTCAGGTGGAGTTTATCCAGAAATTTTCTCCAAAAGAAGCAGAAAATCTGCCTCTGTGGCAGTGTATTTCCTTCCAGGCCTTATCTGCTGAATCTAGGAAACAGACTACACAGGAAGTCACTAGAGTAGGCACTGTGCAGTGCAGGAAATGGCTGAGTGGGAGTCACACTTTGGGAGAACTGGAGTCTCTGGTAAAGTCATTTTGATCAGTTTGACTCACTCACCTGTTGTTTCCTGAAATCTACTGGAGATAGGTCAGTAATTAGATAGGCATAGTCTCCACTCTGTTAGAACCTAGCAAGATGTTCAGATTTATACATTATAAAAGATCTCTGAGAAACATTATCTTCATTGATGTAAGTTATATTGGAGGGATTTCCTCTGTTGCTTAAAATATGTTGGAACAACATGAGATACTTTGTGATACTTCTGCTGATACTGTTGGATTAGGCAGACATAATTCTTATTTAACAAAACACAATCTTCATTTTATGCAAACCTACTGTGAACCTTTATGTACCTTTTTACTTAGAATGCTTCCTTATAAAATGATGGAATTAAAAAAAGAGATTGCACACCTGTAATCATAGCACTCTGGGAGAATGAGGCAGGAGGATAGTGAGTTTGAGCTCAGCTTGGGCAACTATCTCAAAATAAAAATTTTAAAAAGCACTTGGGAGTTGGGTTCAGATCCCCCCCCCCCCCACACACACACACATGCACACAAAGGGACTCATCTATTATAAGTAGAAAATATGTGGTTGACCAAAATATGTGGTTGACTAGATATTGTGTTCATTCATTCAACAAATATATTTTGAGCTAGGCATGGAGGCACAGACTTGTAATTCAACACTGTGTGAGACTGAGGCAGGAAGATGGCAGGTTGAACCCAGCCTGGGCAGTTTAGCAAGTTTTCAAGACCCTATCTCAAAGAAAGGGATGGAGTTGTAGCTCAGTGCAGAGACCCTGGGTTCAATCTGCAGTACTGCCAAAAAACTTTTTTTTTTTAGCATTATCTTAAGTGCCACTTTATGTTCTAGGCACTGAGGGATATATCAAGGAACAAAACAAAAATTTCTGTCCTCATGGAGTTACATTCTAGCTTAGACAAGTGGAGAAAAATCAAGCAAGGTCGAGGACAGGCATTTGAGAATGTATGTGTGTGTTTTTTTTAGTGGGGACTGAACCTAAACCCTTCACACTGAGCCCTTTATAATTTTTAAAATTTTGAGATAGGGTCTTGCTAGGTTGCCCAGGCTAGGCTTGAATTTATGGTCCTCTTGCCTCAGCCTCCTAAAGGGTAATTTTAGCATTTTTTTCTGGGCATTTGTTTCTGTACTGAGAGTAAAGATTGTGATATTTTGTTATATAATGGCAGGTAACTTAAATTTAAAACTTTTTTTCAAAAGAAATTTTTAATGTGCTTTTTACTTTGGAAAAACTTAAATATCTAGTTTGGAATGGGTTAAATTTGTTGAGGCTTGTCTTTAGTGTGTACTATCTATAATAAAGACAAAGGTCTTAGCTGTGCATGGTGGTGCACACGTGTAATCCCAGCACTCAGGAGGCTGAGGCAGGAGGATCTTCGTGAGTTCCAGACCAACCTGGGCTACAAAGTGAGCTCAAGGCCAGCCCGAACTGTACAGTGAGACCTGATCAAAAAGACAAAGATCTTTTGTTTTATAGCAGGTAAAAAAATACCATTTTTCTAAAATTGAATAAGCTGTGAACAAAACTTTATCTGGCAGGTCATTGAGCATGTTTATTTTAAAAGCGATAGGTCAATCTTAAATAAGAAGGTGTATAGTAATTACATAAAGTGTGGTTGTGGAAGTATAATAGATTAAAGTAATTGTTACTTATTAGATTCTCATATCCTCTTCACCTACCTTCATCATACCCCAAACAACTCCATTCCTAGCCAGAGAGGTTTGAGTACTTACACATATAGATGACAGTGAAGTTTTAAAAAGTTTTTAATTTCAAATTCTAAATAGGTATGCTTCTTAAATTCTGTATTTGCTTATTGCATCAGTGTTGCTGAGAAATCTCAAATTTTAAAACAACAGAAACAATAAAAACCTAATAACTTGTAAAGAGTATGTGAAAAAATAGAACTTTTTATCAGTGAGTATTTTAAATTAGATTGACCATGCCAGACTTGATGGCACATGCCTGTAATCCCAGCACTTGGGAGGCTGAGGTGGGGAGGATCACCATGAGTTCAAGGCTAGCCTAGGTTATGTAAGTCAGTTCAAGGCCAGTCTGGATGACATAGTGAGATAGATAGATAGATAGATAGATAGATAGATAGATAGATAGATAAATAGAAGGGACCATACTGACCATTTTTATCAAACCTATTTATTAAAATACACTGCTGTGTTTATTTTAAAATTTTTAGCCTAAGAGGAAAAAGATGGCTTTGGCTCTTAGATGTGATATTCCCTGTGAATTTTTATGATGAGTTTGAAGTAATTCCCATAGCCTTTGGATAAGTGGGCTCCTCCTGATCCTTTAGACTGGTTTCTAAACTCATGTCTTCTCCCCTCTTCCTGCTTTAGAACTCAGCACTCTCTGCTTTGATTGCTGTCTGTGCATCTGCTGGAGAAACTCTGGATATTGGGCAGCAAACTGCAATTATAGAAGTTGGGAGTCAGCTTTGGGTTTTCTTAAGCATTAAACAGGTGAGGAAAGCAAATGATCATTTCCTGGAAGAATAAAGAAATAATGATGAAAAAGAAAAAATACTGAAATTTCCCTGTACAGAAAAAAAATCTAAGTAGTTTAGATACTTGGCAGAACCTGTGATTAGAATTTAAAGCATGTATATGTACTCTCAGGCAGTCCTTTCTTTGTGCCAGCTTTAGAGTAGTAGAACCTAGTGAAGTGGGCAGTGATAGTCCATTCCATTTTCCTGATTTGTTGTCTCTTGGGTTAATGTGATTCAAGGGTCTCCTATAAAATCTTTTGGACGGTGAGAGATATGATCTGAAGATGGAAGGGGATGGTGAACAGATACGGCTTATCTGTATTTCTTTGTTCAAGCAAGGCCAGGAAATCCTGTGATGCTTGGGTTAATATCCAAAGACTATTCATTATATATACCTCGTCTTGTTTCTCACTTTGAAAATCTAAATATAGTATGATGTTTGTTTGCTTTGATTGTGTGGAAATAAATATGCGACCTCTGACAACCAAAGTTGTCAAACTGTATCCATAGTTTCAGGATATTAGAGGTGATTTTTCAGGTCATCTTTGATTGGTTTGTTTATGGTCAGAGAGCCCTCCAGCAGTATGTTTGATGTCAGTAAGTGCCTTCTCCTGGGGCTCACACTTTGTTCAGTATTAATTCAGCCTATCTGTGCTGCTGGGGATTTAGCTTGAAACAATATAATAAACAGTAATTGTGAGAAATGAAATTTTAGGAACAGTAAGGAACATGCAAGCTTTAGTGGCAGAAAAAAATAATTAGATCTCCTTTTGAATTAAATCTGGATTTGAATCATGGCTCTTTTTTAGTCATATCCTCTTAAGTAAATTATTCAACTTCCTTTTTTTCTTCTTAGTAAAGTAAATTAGCTACCTCAGAGTTATTATAAAGCTTTAAAAAGGTAATAAATATAAAGCACTTAAGCACGTTGTGTTACCTATAATAAATGCTCAATGAAAAGTTGGTAGTATTGTAGCTATTCTCATGTAACTGAAAATATTGTTTCTTATTTAAGGTGACACGTCAACCCTGTGTTCAACAGACATTCAGGCTTTTACTTTCACTGTTAGGATTTTTTGTTCAAACTCTACATCCTCAGCTGATATGTCAGGTAAGGTAGTATTTTGTTTGGTAAAGGAATTTATTAAATTGCTATCACTTAACTCTCTAGAAAGTCTTTTTTATTATTTATTGCTTCGTTTGCTTGTAACTCCTTTCTTGTTGAACACATCACAGATGTACTTAGCTCCATCAAGCATATCTCATTTTCTTCTTCCTTCCAGTAGAGAATTGTTAGTATTCTGGGCTGTTAATTCAGTGTAGTACTTTCTTATTACCTGTTCTTTCCTATCACTTTGGGGTACATGTTTTTACTCCTGAGCAGTCAGAACTTTTTGTGGTTACTATTAGCTACCCAAGAAAAATCCCAGAGGTTGTTAGGAGTCTTCAATCCTGTTTCAACTCCTACACTCAAAGTATTTTCCAAGGCATTTTCATGGGTGTGAGATTATGGAACATTACCAACATGAATTTAAGGATGATGCTCAATACACTGTTTTGAAAGAAGGTACTGCGTGATACTCAATACACTGTTTTGAAAGAAGGTACTGCCAAGTTCCCTCTCTGGTGGGAGAGGTGAGCTTTGGGCACTGTCTGGGGGATCCTTGTGGTGGGGCTTTGGTTACGCCTGTCCATGGGGATCATGAGCTGACAGAGATTGGGAAAGGCCTGCATCTTATGTGAACTGATTTAGAGGCTCTGAAACCAGTCCATACAGGAGAGGCTTGATCCTCAAAGTCAAGAGTTATCTTTAGCATACGGTCACATGGGAAACAACAACAAAAACTGTTAACAGGAGAAATTAACCCTTCCTTTTTAGGAAAAGGATTGGACAGATGATACATCTTGTTACCACAGTGGTGAGGAGGGACAGAAAGAACTAAAACTAGTTACAGCTTTAGTATTTTTTATTTATTTTTTTGCAATTCTTGCTAATAATGTATACACAAAGCAATTAGCCTAACAATATTTACTAATTAGGTATAATGTTTAGTTACTACATGTGTAACATGGGTTACTAAGTTATAAAGACAGCAGATAAAACAGACTTATGCTGAATGCAATAATTTGAATTTGTTGATTCTAAAAACTGGTATTTTTGAAAAATTAAATACTAATAATTTTAATATATAATGTGCTGGATTAGCCAGCTTTTTGTCAGTATATATACCTGAGAAAGACAACTTGAAAAAAGATTTATATTGGCTCACAATTTCAGAGGTTTCAGTCCCTGGTTGGCTGGTTCCATTGCTGTGGGCCTGACATGAGGCAGAGCATTGTGGTGCAAGAGCCTGGGAGAATGAAGCTGCTTACCACATGGCAGCTAGAAAGCAGAATGTGAAAGAGCCAGAGAGGAAGGAGCCAGGTACAAGATATGGTCTGCAGGGTCACATGCTCACTCCCTTCAACTAGGCCACATCGCCTGTTTCCATCACCTCCAAGTGATGCCATCAAAATGTTCTATCAGTGGACTAAGCCACTGGTGAAGTTAGAGCCCTCCTGATCTAATCACCTTCCAAGAAACCCTACATCTCAACACATGAGGTTTTTGCAGAATGTTTAGATCTAAACCGTAACATATGCTTACCTTTGAAATAAAAGCCCAAATAATTCAAGTTCTAAAGTTTCACTGTTTCTTTAAATTAGGAGCTGGCAGGCTATGGCCTTTTTCCTGTTTGCAATCCAAGTGCAAAAGATGATTTTTACATTTTTAAATATTTATGAAAAAAGTATACACTAGGAAGTATGTTGCACACAAAGCCTAACATACTATTTGGCCCTTTACAAAAAATGTTCTTTAAGCCAGTCCTTGTTTTAAATACTGAACTTCACTCAAAAGAATTTAAAATACAGTATGATTTTTAAAGGTTTGGTGTATAGTTTTTCAGGAACATATGCATTTTTTCCCTGTAGTTAGAGGCAGGAGAGTATGGTTACAATACTGAAATAACTGACTCCTTCATTTTTGACTTTCTCAGATTCTACCTGTGAAATTAAAGTTTTGTAGATGGTTGGTTGTTCTGGCTTTTGTTTTTCATTGTATTTATCCCCAAATCGTAGGTAGTCCTCTTGCCTATACAAAATACTGTTTGTACTTTCCTGTTCTTTTATTTTTCCCCCTTCAGGTAGTAAATTTGCAGACTTCACTACTTAAATTTGAACCTCCGGATCATGTCTGTTTGGCAATGGTGGATTTTGTATCTTCTCTAGGAAAACTTTTTATACATCACACTCTCCAGGTAGTAACTCTTAACTCTTATTCTTGTGCTATTAAAAGTAAAATCTCTATAATAACTAAGGGAGTTTTAAGTTTTTGATTTCTAAAATTCTGTGGATTACTGACAGTGAATTAGAGGGAAAGAAACCTACTCCAAAGAACTCATTTATTTTTAGAGAAATACATGTTGGCATAGGCCTAATTTATTGGGTGGTGGTATTCTTATTCCACTTGGGTTCCAGCACTTAGTTTCTCAAGGCAGAAAACATATTCATGTCTTCTATGCAACTGTATAACTAGGCAATTTGGTAAGTTATCGCAGTTATATATTTTGGTTTCATATTCGTGAAACAGAGCTTGTTTGTTTTTAAAGACAGTATGTTAAAAAATGTTGGAATGTGTATATGGCTGACAAGTGGATATTCATTTATAACCATACTGTGTGGCCTAGCATTACACATTTATTGAAGCTTAAGACAGAGCTCAGAGCAAACAGAAACTCCTCGTAAAGTCTTTTTGCCTTATTATATTGAAAATCCAACAACTTGATAACTTTTTTTGCCATTGTTTTTACCTCCAAGGGTAAGATTAAAAAGCTCACAATGTAAACTTTCTGACATGATCTGAGCAAACACATAATGGACAATTCCAGGACATATTAAAATCTTTGAAACCAAAAATTTCCACATAAGGTCAACACTGAATCCCATTGAATTTGATTCGGTTCTTGTTCATGTTGGTTTGTGACCAGAATCGTGGAAGGAATTAATTAAGTTCCTAAACTGAGATACCATGGTAGTTGTATACAAGTGGACAACATAATGCAGTCTATAAAGCTGTTTCTTGAGTTAAATGTGGGTGTTGACAGTTTTTGATTCTCTTGGCAAAGTTATCTAAAGATACATGCATTTGAGCCATCTGCTTTTACCATAAAATAAATTTATTCCAAAGCACTCCTTTATTTGTGCATAGCTGCAGACCTTGCATGGTCCTAGAACCTACGGAACAGATTTATCAGAAGTTATAATACCTTACACATTGCCTGGAAGTGAGGTCATGCCTGGAGAAATGTTGGAGATTGGTCAGCATATAGGAGATACTTAATGCCACAAGATGAGATTACCTTTTTTATTCAAGAAGAATGAATGAGTTCTATTACTATATCTGATGCTCTTTTCATCACTGGTGATACAATAATTGAATTAATAAATCCCCAGTCTCAGCTTGTTGAGAGGCAACAGAAAGTAAAGTGGTGATACGTAAGGTATGTTAAGCGGTGGTGAGTGCTAGGAAGAAAAGTAAAGCCGGGGGTGGGAGGAAGGCATACTTATGTATATGGGAATACAGTCCAAAATGGGAGCTAGTGGGTGTGCTCACTGATAGACAGTAAGAGTGAGGAGCAAGCTGTTCACTATCTGGGGACAGAGTCTGCTGAGCGGGTCAACAGCAGGTGCAGCCTCTGAGGTGGGAGCAGCCCGATCATCTCACATTCTGGGAAGTCATAGAGCCAACAGCTTTCACTATGAGGAAGTGGAAAGTTCTTGGAAGAATTTACGAAATGAAGTGACCTAACACGTTTTGTATAAACGTTCACTAGAAAGTTGGCAACACTGGAAACTGGAATGTCCCGAGGTTTCTTCTTCTCTATTTAGTAAGTTTGGTTCTCTTTTTAGGACAAAATTTTGCCCTACCTGTCTTCCATCCTGGCCTTACTGATAGCCGAGAAGAACTGGCTGCTAGAACAACACACCCTGGAGGCATTTACTCAGTTTGCTGAGGTAATTATAAGATTGATTTACCACAGTGACTTGTAAACATTTTTAATATTCAAGCACTGTGGCTGAGGTAGGAGGATCTCAAGTTGAAGCCAAGCCTGGGCAACTTGGGGACGTCTTTCTCAAAAACAATGCTGCTCAGTGAAAAGGTCTTGGGTTTATTCCCCAGCACTGCCAAAAACCAATAAAACTTCATAGTATTTGTAATGCTTCTGTATCTTACTTGTAAACTTTCATTTGGAGGCGATGTTACTAATTATCTATTGCAGGATCTCAAATGAGGCCTAGAGAAATGAAGTGGCTTTGCTCAGGTTCTCTCAGCAAGGACTGGGAACAGGCATTTTAAGGAGGACTACTGGACACTGCCTTCCAGTTATTTTTGGGTTCACCGTGAACTATCACTGGGGATAGGTGATAGGCTGAGGAACTGAATGAAGCTTGCTACTTTGGTTTTTTAGGGAAGTAACCTGGCATGGGTTGCCTTTTCACTATTCTGTTGCTATGCAGCATACCCCCACTTTCGGTTATAAAGGAGTCATCAGTAAGACGGAGCAGAAGTAACTGTAGCTTGCAACACTAAATTTGTAGAGGCTAATATTATATTATCCCAAGGAACCCTGAAAAAATGAGCTCGGTGCGTTCTTAATTAGAATAACTCTTAAACACATTACCTGTCTTTGCAAGCTGTTAATATCAGTCTTGTTAATCTTTTAATAGGGGACAAATCTTGAAGAGATAGTGCCACAATGTCTCAGTTCTGAGGAAACTAAGAACAAAGTCGTGTCCTTTCTGGAGAAGGTATTTACTTAAACACTTCCTGTTTTATTCTGTTTCATATCACCTTCATTTGAAATGGTGTAACGTAGTTTAAATTTTCCAGAGTGCTCAGCACAGTGCTAACATGGGCTGAACACCCTTAAAGGCAAAGTGCTCCAAAATCTTAACAGTGTGAGCCACCAACATGATGCTACAAATGGGAAATCCCACACTATGACACTTTTGGGGAACAAAAATCATTAAAAATATAAAATTACCTTCAGGCAGTGGTGTCTGAGGTGTGTATGAAACATAAAAGACTCTGTGTTTAGACTCCAGGCCCATCCCCAAACACCCTGTTCAGTCTCAAAACTTCTTGTCCCGAGGACTTGTGGCAGGGGAGACTCAGCACGTGCCAGAAGCGAGATGCCTAGCACACTCCACCGTAGCGCGGAATTGACTAACACTGTTAATCTTGGCAGTGAGGTGATGATGCTAATCATAATTATGGACTCTTGATGACAGACTGGAGAATATTTTTTTTTAATTTTAGGTTTAATTTAGGTATGGCTTTATACCCTGATTGAAGCCAATATCTACTTTTCCAAGACTGTGACATTTTTTTAAGTGTTTTTACAGATACATACTTTGCATTAGAAGGATCCTGTTTGTGCACCTTGAAAACTCATGGTGCTAGTGTTACCCATGAATGATTTTTTTTTTTTTTACATATATATCACATATTGCTATATATTACATCCAAGTGGGACTTTTTGTATACTTTGCTTTTGCCACTGTCTTTTAGTCTGTAGTCAAGGTCAGAAACTAGACTCTACCATTTTTAGTGTAAGGAAGAACACTATAGAGAGACTTAATCCAGACTGTCCTAAGATGAAGCCATTTACAGATGAAGCCACCTAATTTTTCAAAGTTGCCATATCCACAGGGCAAACCAAATTGTTGGTATATACACATATACCAAAACAGTTACTTGGTCTTTTCATCTCCTGAATATTATTTTCTATCTAGTAGAGAATGCTAATGTATTGGTGTTTACTTGTGTTTTTGTGGTCTTTGGCAGACCGGGTTTATAGAGGAGACTGAAGCTGCCAAAGTGGAACGTGTGAAACAGGAAAAAGGTATCTTCAGGGAACCCTCCGCTAGCGTGGCTGCAGCAGTAGTGAAGTGTTCATCAGTACAGGTACGGGCTGCCTTATGGTGTGGGTCAAACTTTAACAAGGGAAAGTCTGCCCTTTACTTACTGATAAAACAAAAACTACCGTGATTTCCCTTTTTTTGAGACAGGGTCTCACTGTGTAGTCAGGATGGCTTTGAAAGCACTATGTAGCCCAGGCTGGCCTCGAACTCTCAGCAATCTGCTGCCTCTGCCTCCCAAGTACTGGAATTACGGGTGTGCACTGCCACACCTAGTTCTACTTTGGTTTGATTCTTGTCCTCATGTTGACTTTCAAAACAAATAGATCTATACATATAAAACTAACTTCTAAAAATCACATGGCGGTGTGGTGGCGCATGCCTGTAATCCCAGCCTTCCGGAGGTTGAGGCAGGAGAATTGTGTGAGTTCGAGACCATCCTGGGCTACAAAGTGAGCTCAAGGACAGCTTGAACTGCTTAGTGAGACCTTGTCTCAAAAACACAAAAAAAGTTTAAAAAAATAAATAAAAATCGCATGTATTCTTCCTGAAAGAACAGGAAAAAATCATCTAACTTATCTTCCAAAATGTTTATTTTGATCCCTTGCTTCATGAATCAAACAAGCCTACTAATTATGTTTGGCAGCATCAAAAAATTACATTTACCCATTAAAAAGCAGAAATGGTATCACTAGGGATGTTCAAAAATAGTTTAGGAACTGGTAATTATTTGGAATAGTAAGCTATAATAGGAACCATGTTGTGGCCAGTTTTAGCCACAATTTAGAAAATAAGTTTATGACAATAACTTGTTTGTAAGACATATATCAGGGAAATATGCCCTTAGGAATTTAGATTTATTGTGACATTTCATGGGAAGACTTATTATGAGAGTTTTCCTGACTTCATCCCTCCCTATGCAATGATGTTTGAAAACCTGATTTTTTAAGTGGCTCCAAAAGCGCCTGAAAGAGTACAGTTCTCATCAGTTATACACTTAATAGTATTAAGAAAAACATTCACACTTCAAGCTTTTTTCTAAGGAAAAATTGAGATATGTCCAAAGAATTCCCACTGGGAATTATTAGATTTAAGCATTACTTTGCCTTTGGGAACACTGCCAGGAGCTGCTTCACTGAGACAGTGCAGAAGCACCTGCACCTACTGTTTTCTAGAGGACTGTGGAGTAGGGGGTGCCCTCCTGTCCTGAGTCAGTGACTAGACATTATTTTAGTTGGGCATCATGGCTTGGCTTGACTCATGTTTTTTTCCTTTTCCAGACTTGTGCAAAAAGAGCCCGTCATGAGTTCCCCTTGGAAGAACAGTATAGGTCAGCTTTGCAAGCAGCAGTAAGGGCTCTGGAGGTCACTGAGTCACTGCTCCAAAAGGCTCCTGCTCCAGCCTGGCTTCTGGTGGAAATGGAGGCACTGCAAGCACGGATTGAGCAGCTCAAACACAGTGTGCTCCAGGGTGAATGCTGAACGGACTGCACTGCTGTCACCAGACAGACTGGGTTTGACACTTTTCAACTGTCAGGATATTCTGCAAATGAAAATACTCAGTAGTTATACTTGTACATTTTCTAGCACATATAAAATAGATTTTATAGAGGTGAATCTAGTGAAAATAGTCTTTATTTGACATTTAGAGAACAGGATTGGGGGTGATATTTCTCATTAAGACCTTTGGTACAAGGTAGTACATGTAAAACAGTAACTGCCCAGGTCCACAGAGGACCTTCCACTCAGAAAGTACAACTGTAAACAAATAAATAAGCTGCCTAAGGAAACCTTAAGTCATTTATAATTTATAGCTAATTTTTTTTAGTAAGTTGTATTACATAATAGAACTTATTTTTCTTACCGTTAAAGAAATGGCACAAAATTAAGCTAAACAGCTTGACTTTTTATATTTATTTTCTTGCTTTTTTAAAGCAGTAAATCGACCTTTCCTCAGCTTCTTGCTCTTCGTGGACTGGCCTCTGCTGAATGCACCCAGGCTTGCCCTCCTAGAAGCCAGCCCTGTGAGCCCTTGGCCACCTGGGCTCAGCCAGCACTCGAGCATCATCTCACCCTGCAGTTGGCACAGACTGGAAAAGAGCCCCTGGGACAGGGAAAAGAGGCTGCTTTGGGGTTTTTTTGTCCATACAGCCTGCATCTGAGGTACTCATTTTTTTAAAAAAGGATTCCTTCCTAAAGTTTAACTCACGTCCATTGTCACCAGTTACTATCTTCCCAGTTCAGCTCCCCTTCTTCTCCCCAGCCTTCAGCCTCTCCCTGCAACAAAGCACACCAATAGCAACCCACTGAGACAAGTTATATGCCAATTAAAAAACCCAAGAATGTATGGATGACCCAGCACTTGACTTTTTATGCCAGACTCTGCTGCCTCCTGCTAAGTCAAATAATGTTATAAGTGAAGGCTTAGAAAATGGGATATTTTGGTTCCAGCATTATAAACCAGAGCACTGGAAGATAACTTCAGGAAGCTGATAATGCAGTAAAATCAATCTGGGGTTAACCTTTTTCCCCAAATAAAAAGTTTATTCATGTAAGAAATAGACCATTTAGACACTTACCCTATACATTGTACATTTTTCTGAGGAAAGAAAGATCCTGTTTCTAAAAACCAATTTTGCTGATTCTGTGCTTGGCTTAATCATTTTAACCAGTTGTGTGGCCTTTTCCTCCTTTGGGAAAACACGTTTACTATAAACTGGGACCTATTAAGGAAACCTTTTACCTACACAGCAGAAATACCCCAGAAGTCCTCACCTCAGTCATTTCTGCTGCAGCAAATTTTGAGGAAAACTGCATCACTGGAGAGACACCATCCTTGCTGGGGACCATCATTTCTGTTCTCAGTTCAGGTAAAATAAGAAAAGCAGCTGAAGGCTTTATTTCTGGGATCATATCAGCAAACCAGTCCAACTCAGGATCTTCTATTGGCTTCTTTTTAACCGTTATGGTAAACTCTTCTCCCAAACCAAGTTCTGACTGAACTTTAAGAGGCCTTTCTTGTGACAGCCCTTTTGGTGGCTTGGTCTGGTCTGGCTCTTCTCTGCTTTGTACATTTGGGAGGAGAGTTGATTTCAGAGGCATGGCTGGTTCAGTGAGTGGATGCAAAGCAAGAGTGGGCTTCTGCTCCCCAGAGGTATGAGGCACTGGCACAGAGACACTGGGTCCTAGGCTTGTTTGAGTACCTAAGCTGCTGGGTGCACAGGCTTCCCAGGCCACTGCTTCTGCAATGAGGTCAGTGCACTGGGACTCGGCAGCATCACAGGGTTCTGTAGGCCAAATGTGCACGCTGACAGTTTGGTTCTCTGGCTCCTCAGGCTCAGTCCAGTCAGGCCACTCCTCAGACTTTTTAGAGTCTGATGAGAAATTTTCAGTGTTCCCTGAAGTATTTTTCACATCTGAGATTCCATTCATGGGAAACTTAATAGACTGAGAAAACTGGTCACCTATGATGATAGGTACAAGAATTATTCTCATGAAAAGCTGATTAAGGACAAACAGTATATTTAGGAGGACAGCACTAACATATGTGGATTTATTGGAAATTACCATTAATTCTAAACTAACAAAAGAGGTTCTTCTGGACATAACATCAAAGATGTTAAGTTATTTAAATACTACTTTATAATGCTTATACAATATTATTCACTCATTGGCATACCTGTAAGTAAATATACAAATGCTCTAAGCCAGGCAATGTTACCTTCAAGCTGTTCATTACACATCTTGAAAAAAATGTATGCTCAAATAAGTCCACTTCACTCAAGATGCGGAGACAGCCTGTGCAGAAAGCCTGGCTTTCTCATCACCTACCATTTTCCCAAGTGTATTTAACCAAAAACCACTTTTTTCACAACATGCCTATTAACAACTTTCAGAGCTAAGACACTAAAGCATCAAAAGTTCCAAAGTAATGTACCTGGTGCAAAAAAAGATTTCAATGTTAACACACTGTTCTCATCAGTTATGAGGAAGGGTTAAGTACATATACAATAGTTTGAAAGGCAAGGTGAGACCAAAGCTGGCTAGGGCCTATTATAACAAGAAATCAGTCTCAAAATTCCCAAGAGTACCCTAAGTTTCAGAATTTAAACTTACTTATTACTTTCAGGAAAACATTCATCTAAACAATAGAAAAAAATATAAATTTAGCAATTCTACCTGTGTATAAACAGGTACTGTAGTAATCTCGCTGTATGTGCTCCTTGCTGTTGATGGGGAGGGTGCCAGAAGAGAAACCTTTTGGGAATGTGCTAGAGGAGGCACTCTCCAAGGTGGGCAAGATCTGACTGTTCCGGCTGCAGACCACATGCCTGGGAGAATCTGAAGGTTCCAAATAATGAAAGGGATAGTAAATGGCTTCTGATCTACTATATGTCTAGTGAGGAATAGCTAAGGGAAATGGACATACTCAACACAGGTAAAAGAGAACATCTTCAAATATCTGAAGAAACACTCCTGACCATCCTGTAGTTAAGAACACATGTCCATGATGGGATAGGTGGGATTCAAGCATTGTGACACCTCATTAAAACATTACAGACTTTAAACATATTTTGGTGCTGCTTTAAAGCCGTAAGTAATTCTCATTTCAAGAATACATCTAATAAGAACATATCCCCATATGAATGTATTAACTCCAGACCCGTGTGTGGGAGGTAGGTGGGGGGGGGTAATGTGCAAACATGTCTTCAACAGTTGATACTCAAGATTGGACATTGGTCAAGAAGATTTTAGCAAAATTCTGGCTGCATTCCTCAAGCAAGGGGGAAGGAAATGGGGCCTCAGGAAGCTCTTGGTAGCAAGCTCCCCCTCTTCCCTCCAGCCCCCTGAGGCCTGACCCTATAGCCCTTCTCTCTTCCTTTACCACTATCCCCCTGGCTAAAGGTCTACTCATTTTTCCTGCCCAGTGTCTCCTTTAAACTGTTTCACAGCTTTCAGGCAGACTGACTTCTCTTAGTCACTCCTTTCAAAAACCTCGATGTTAGCCCTTCTTTTTAAGTCTATGAAAGTGAACTGCAGAAGACATGCCCTTCCTCAACAGCTCCCCACAGCATTACACACAGAGCTGCACTGAACTCTACATTTGGAATGCGGACTGCTGCCTGGGCTCCCTTGTCTTACTCAAGGAAGACCCCGACTTGGAGAGACAGTAGGATTGGACTTCTGATCTGTCATGAAGTCTTTAGGAAAATCTACCTGAAGGAAAAAATCATCTGCTACTGCTGCTCTGGTGTCTTTCCAGTTCCTTATAAAGATGACATTGTAATCCAGAGGTACATAAAAGGAATGAATCTTTAGTATATAGAATGTTTACAATGGGATAATTCCACCCACTTACACAGATGTTAGGAGTGGGAGCTTTTGCTAATTCAGCATATAAAACTGTCCTGAAGACTGATTCCCAAGTCTCAAAAGCTATAAACTGTACCCCAATAACAATACAGAAACTCCTCATCTATTGTAACCTGCTCAGAGAATAGGTAACAATCACACTAAATCACTCTTTCCAAGCTCCCTGGGCCATACTGACTGATTTCATTAGCATTAAGGGACAGCTGAACTTTCTTCAAAACTTCAGGAAGGGGGCTGGGAATTTAGCTCAGCGGTAAAGTGCCTGCCTGGCAAGGGCAAGGTCGTAAGTTTGATTCCTGGTACCCAAAGAAAAACAAACCAAACAAAACAAAACAAAAAAAAACTTCAAGAAGCCAGTGTTGCAGTTAAGACTGGGGGCTGGGGATTTAGCTCAGCGGCACAGTGCCTGCCTAGCAAGCACAAAGTCGTGAGTTCGATTCCTGGTACCAGAAAAAAAAAAAAAAACAAGAAAAAACAAAAAAGATTTGACTGGCACTGAAATTAGAGAAAAGCTTGAATGCCAGCTCTTTTCTATCACTGTCTCCATATGGACTACTGATACTGTCTATAGAATTGAACTGGAGAGCTAAAATTCATAATGAGGTCACTGCCCCATTCAGGTTATATAAAGGAATAATAACAAATGACCCTCTTGATATAAAATTATTTTAAGACCAGAAATTAAAGTGCTACATCCTTAGGAACATCTGATGGAAACATGGAAAAGAAGGATTTGTTCAGGTACCTAAAAGTCAACAGCTTTTCACCAATAGGCCAACAAAATCAGAAGAACTTAACTAGTATTAGAACATCTACAGCTTTTTTTTGGAACTGACAATGTCTATCAAAACTTAAAATATATCCTCTGACCCAGCAAGTGTATTTCTGAGACTACTCTATAGCAATGAAACCCCAAATACTTAGATACAGGTATAAGGATATTTACTGTAGCACTTTTATAGTACTAAAAATCCAGAAATAGATTTAATATCCATGAAGTATATCACTGAAAAAGTTTTACTCAGTAAAATACTACATACTTATGAAAAAAAGTCCCCTAGATTTCTATGTATTAACTGAGAGACAAGTCCCTGATACGCTGCTATAAGAAAACAAGTTGTAGATTTGTGCATGATATTGTCATTGTTTTCCAGGAAAATCCTATGTATCTGTGAACATACATCTGTGTCCTTTTGTGGGCTTAAAGGATTTTCACTAAACTCTTAAAGGTTATCTTTATTTTGTTCAGCCTGTACAAGGAGTTGGAAAACTAACTTTTCCATCTCTGTATTTAATTGAATATAAACCTTTTGCATTATATGTATAATACTTGAATATCTAGTAGCATACATAAAAGCTACAGCTTTCAATCATCCTTACCTTCTGGGGAAAGATCAGTCATTTTAGTAAAACTCGGGGCAGTACGTTTAAAGATCTTGGTTCTCTGTCCTCCCACAACCACTTCTGGTCCAAGCAGAGAGACCAGCACTGCAAGGCTATGAAGAGTAACTGCCACAATGGAACTGCTGGTATCACGCAGGCCCAGTAACACCTAAGAGCAAGTGATACAATGAATGTAGACCACAGTATTTGTCCCTTTCTCCTCCTGTGAACAGTTGGACTGCACTGCATCAGAACTACAATCTGCTCACTCATGTGAATCACATTTTCTTAAGATACTTCTAGGTCAGTGGTTCTGTGGTCTTCCCAACTCCTGACTCAGTATATTCTGGACTGATTTTTTTTTTTTAAATACAAGCAAAGCCAAATCAAATACACAGGGAACACAAAATTATTCCACCCAGTTGCTACCAAAGCAATTTTAAGTGTAAACTCTGCATCTACCCTTGCCCTCATCATATAGCTCACACATTGGTAACATGCTGCAGTGCTCAGACACTACACTCCCAGGCCTAGCCCCTCTCCTCAGTTCCACACACCCCATGCGGAAGAATCTGAGAACCTTCCTTCTACCCCATGCATGTAACGCCTGTCCCAACTGAGCCAACTACGATCTCTTCCCCAGTCAGAGGCTATAATCCAGAGAAACTAGTTATCTCTTTGGTTTGGTCAAAGTACGGTTTGTTTAAACCTGTAAGTTATGGGACATCTGACATACAACCACAGTAATGACAACTGCTCTTCAGAGAGTCAGAAATGAAGCAGATGCAGAGAAAGACAAGGAATGAAGACAAAATGGTTGTGAGACATCACCTGGCAGTGAGACATACAAATCCTGGCCCCATCGTGAACATGTTAAGGTGATTTCACTTACTTTCAGCCAAGAGGACCTCAACTAAGACAGTTACCTGCAGACACCTGGAGAGGTTCTGCTCTACAAGGAAGGCACACCATGACATGCAAAGGTGTGCACCAACCGACACATAGCCAGGATAAATGGGTTCTGTTTCCCTGCTATTAACTCAGGATAAACTTGACCCAGGAATGGCATTTTTTTGGTTTTCTATTTACCTAAGAACGAAAGTCTCCAATAAGACTCTTAAGATGGTTATTAAGGGGGCTGGGGATTTAGCTCAGCGGCAAAGCGCCTGCCTGGCAAGCGCAAGGTCGTGAGTTCAGTTCCTGGTACCGGAGAAAAACCAAAAAAAAAAAAAAAAAAAACCCAAAAAAAACAGATGGTTATTAAGGGCTGGGGATTTAGCTCAGCGGCAAAAGCCCCTGCCTGGCAAGTGCAAGGTTGTGAGTTCGGTTCCCGGTACCCGGAAAAAAACAAAAAAAAAAAAAAAAGATGGTTATTAGTTCAGTACTAACAGACCAGGCACTTTTCTAAAACAAGGCTGTACAATGACACTGAGGCATGTTTCTTTTGATTATGATTAGAAGTTTATGGACTAAATACAGTAATTACCAAATAATACACTTGTGCCCCAAGTCCATCATCTTCATGTCTTCTCTAGTCAGAAACAGTCCTACCCCTTCTACCCTCTTTACGTCTAAGCCCTAGTACAGTGATGGCCAACCTTGTAGCTTTCAATGATATAGCCGACTGTGGCATGCATGCCATAGGTTTGCCACCACTGCCCTACTACTGTGTATCCACTGCCACATTTTTAGTTGAACAAGTCATACAAGTTTCCTAGCTGAGCCCTTTCCTATGATCCCTCTTCTGCCCTGCTACCAAAGTAAACTTTCCACCACACAGCAATTGGCCCTGCAGGGAAAGTAGTATCCAGAATAATGGGAGCTTTCATTGTCTTGCTTCCTACTCATTCTGTGACTTCAGTCTAATTCTGACACCTATGATGACACCTTTATTTCAGAGTTAGAATATTTCATTCCTCTTCTAAATTTGTAGATACGACGATACGTAAGGTAGTATTGACTACTGCAGATGTAAAGTCAGCCCTAGTAAACTATACTCTGCCTGTGTGTAAACCCATCCCACAGTGAATGAAAGGTGATGCACGTAACCAAGAGAACATCACAGAAACAACACTGCCAGTTCCCCACTTACACCTTAACAAGGCTGCTTTTGCCAGCCCCAACCAGCCATGTAAAGAAGTCAACCTACCTTACCAACAAAGTCATACGGAAATGTTATGTCAGGGAACAGAAGACCTGAGACCCCTGAATGTTCACACAGACAGTATGCCAGCTAAGTCTAGCTTTTCAGTTGTCCCCTCCAAGGGGCTGAAGACACATTTTGGGTGTCAGCTCTGGTCAGGCTCCAGAAGACTGAAGCCTGACCTGACACTATTTGGGGCATCAGAACTCCCAAGCTGAGCCCAGCCAGTCCAAAGACTTGGGAGAATTAATAAAATGCTTACTGTTTTAAGACACTTTTGTGGACACACCAATGGATGACTAAAACATCCTCACTTATTAGTTCCTTGAACACAGGAGAATGTAAACTAATCTTACAGGGAAATGAATTTACTGTGTTTGGTATCTTTAAAAACATCTTGGGTTGGAGATTCATGAAACCAGTGCTATAGCACTTGCCTGGCCTATGTAAGAGCCCAGCACAAAAGGAAGGAAGGAAGGAAGGAAGGAAAGGAGGAGAGGGAGGGAGGAAAAACAAAGAAAGGAAGAAAGAAAGGGAGAGAGGAAAAGGAAAAGAAAAAAGGGAGAGAAGAGAAAAAAAGGAAGGAGGAAGGAAGGAAGGGAAAAAGGAAGGAAAAGGAAACCAGAAAAAGGGAGGGAGAGAAGGAAGGAGGGAGGGAGGGAAGGAGAGAAGGAAGGAAGGACGGAAGAAAGGGAGGGAGGGAGGGAAGGAGAAAGAAAACTACTTTTTAAAACTCTTAAAAAAAAAAAAAAAGGAGCACTTTATACTAGTTGAACAGTGTCCCTCCCAAATTCATGTCCATGCTGAGTGTGATCTGTGGAGGAGGTTAAAATGGGTTAGGGTGGGCCCTAAATTCAGTGACGTGTCCTTTGAAGAAGGCGAAGTGACGAGACAGAGATCAGAATGACACAGATACAGGCCAGCATCAGCGGTTGCAAGAAGCTATCAGAAGCTTAAAACAGTCAAAGGGGGATTCTACCCTAGAAGCTTCACAGGAAGCTTGGTGCTGCCAATACCTTGGTTCCAAGACTTTGCTCCTCCAGAACTGAGTGGATAATTTCTGCTGTTTAAAACCAGGTTATCTGTGATGGTTTGTTACTGTGGCCATAAGAAAGTAATACAAATCTGGAGCCCTGGGGTAAACAACCGTAAGGTTCCTTGGTGGCTGATGAACCACTGATGCAAGCAACCTCCTAATTTATTTCTGGACAACCACAGTTTATTCTTACAAAACATTCCACAAATGTTTGTCTACTTTCCTATAAAGAATTAGCAAACAATTATAGTTTCTCTCAGATTAAAACTATATGTTAGTTTAACTGATCTGTCCAAACAAATAGAAGGGGTATGGCACACGTAGAACAAATGGCATACCCTTAGTATGCCAATGGGTTTTTATACCCAAACTGTTGTCTCAGGGCTAAGCTGCTATCTGAACACCCAATCCCTTCTTCTTTTCAGCCCCCAAATTTGCAGAACCTTTTGCCCACTCTCTTGACTTGCGCTGGCAAGACTCTGTGACCCTACTCCGAACCTGGTCTCTCACCTGTGGCAAAATGACTTTTTTCAGCTGCTCCTGAGTAAAGTGCTCCACGTAGGCCTCAATGTGAGACAGGAGCACCATCCGCACATGTTCCTCGTGAACCTCAAACAACTGGAGGAGCACAGGGATCACCCGCAACTGGAACAAGGCCGGCGAGAGCAGGCAACAGGTTTCTCCTTGTTCTTTGTCTGCTCCAGCATTGGAGAGGATGAGAAAATTTCAGTGAAAAGAGTACTGAACATAACTCATAATCTAAGCTCAGAACTTGACATACATCCTAAGTGTTCTTCTAAATTCTTATACTCTAAGCCGGAGGAAATTATTCTGTTGATCCAGAATTACTCAAGGCTTAATTCCCTTAAGTATAATCTATCGTGTAGAAATGTTTTTGAAATACTACAGATCATACTTAAATATACTACAAAGAAAGCTTGTACTTTAATAGGATTATGAGTAACTTCATAAATGTTTAGTAAGTGAGGAATTTCTTTGACGAGATCAGATTAGTGACACACTAATATTCTTGTCACAGTTTTATTTGCAAAATCAGGTCGTAACGCAGTGCTGTGAGAATTTGATGCTGGGTAGTCCTCTCTAGCAGTGAGGAGTTGGGGGCTTTTTAAAATACATGTGCCTATGTCCTGGCTATCCCAGTACAACAGATCAGACAGGCAGGCCAATCTTTAAAAAAACAGTGGGGCTGGTGAATGAGAGGTTCATCCTGTCTGAGATGCACTGATCAATACGATGGAAGAGGTATTTTAAAAAAAAAAAATCAAGGCGGAAGAGATGACACTGAACCAGATATAAGGAAATTCTAACCTGTAAAAGAACTACCCATAACACTGGCTTCTTGGAGTGAGATCTTTTAAGAAAACTAATTCTAAAAGAATCCCAGCTGACTCAAAATTCTAGTATTAATGCTATATACTCTAACTGGTATGCTGCCATCTATACTGCTCTAATGTTACAAAGTTTCCAAGTTATAATTTCTTTTCACAGCTGGAAAAACGTCCAAAACTCTAAGAAGTGACATAAACTCACTGATTTTCAGTCTTTTGGCTGAATGTAGAAAATAAAAGAGTTGGTCTTTGGAAGCCAGGAAGCACAGGCCTAAATGATTCACAGCAAATGCACAAGGTCTTTAAAGTTGTATGCCTTTGCCTTCAAACTTCCTGTGTTTCGTATCCACTGACATCTGTGATGTTTGTATGTATACAGATGAGTCTTAGGATAGTAAGTGTGACATTCTGGGAAGATGCTCCACTTTTATATTATGGGCTTTCAGGTTTGAGTTCAAGGTCTGTATTAGGGGCAAATTACTATTACTTGCTTTTAGAGCCAAACTTTAACCAACATACAGTAATCTTACCCTGTTCAAAAATGTACTAATAACTGCCAAACTCTTTAATCACCAATAATATTTTGAAAGAGCATTCACCTTTTTTGGGGCCAAGCAGATGAGGAAGAAAACTCTTAACAGCTACTGGCTCTGCAAACACCAACTGATTAAGCAGAAGTGGCACCAGCCTCGACGCTATTAACTCCTCGGACAAGCAGCTGACTCTGTCCAGCAGAAATCTGAGGATAAAAAGCAAAGCCTGGGAAACAGATCATAACGCTATCAATTTTCTACACAGTTTAGCCATGTAAGACCTCTACCCAGCTTCTACCAAAGCAGTGCATTTTGAAATATATCCAGGAAGTGAGATGAACAGATTAGTCCCCAGGTACTTAAGACAAATGCAGAAAGTGTGGGACAAGGCCATTATCATTAGCACCTTGTGCCAGGCCAGGATAAGTTCTCCACAAATTACCTCCGATCAGTAGCAGAAGGGTCCTCCTGTATCCTCTAGTTAGCCAGAGGCCTTCTCAATAAAAGGCACTTTCTCAAATGTAGAAGATGTAGGATAATCAATTTTCTAAAGTTTCCATACTAAAAAAATTATGAGCCTTTTTTTTGGGTGCTGGGGATTGAACCTGGGGCCTCCCATGTGCTAGAAAACGGGACTTTACCCAACCTCATTACATCAAAACACCACACATTGAAGAGCATTCTGTTGAGAAATACAGATGTCGGGTATTAACAGTAGTAATACCCTTCCGTACAATCAGCCTTAGCAGATAATCTTGACTCCTACTTTATGAGGAACAGGCCACATTGTACATTATCACTTTTAAAACCTTATGTCACGATCAATAAAAAGAGGCCAACATCCATACTTACTCCTGTTCCTTTCCAGTTCCAAAGATGCTGGGCCTCCTCCTGCTTAAGGACAGCTCCCCCTTGCCACGCCCCAACTTCCCCTCTCCCCCAGGCCAAGCACCGCCCATCCCTGCAGCACAACCCCAGTTCCCACTGCCACTCTTCCCTGAGTACCTTTCCCTCAGTCTAAAAACGCTCATGTCTCACCCATCCTTAAAAACATCCTCCTTGACTCCGTTTCTTCTTTAGCAATATGATCTTCCCTTCCATTTTCCAGGAGGTTTTGCCCAGTGTCTACCCTCGCCTGCTCAGCCTCACTCTGCTGGAAAGGACCCACTCCTGGCAAGACAAGGAAGTAGTGCCATGCTGTTGCTACATGAGTGGGCCTCTGCTGATCCTGCCGCCTCTCAGAAGCCCTCCCCTGGGATGCCCCAGATTCCCAGCTTCTCTGACCAATGAATGTCTCACCCAACTCACCCTCACACAGTAGAGTGCTCCAGGGCCACACTTTGGACCACTGTCCTCACGTTACTATTTCCTCTGGAAGATACCACCAGACAGAGGCTGACGAAACCTCCACGGTCCCCATGAGGCCAATGGCTTAATTCCTAAGACTCCTCTTTGTTCATGTCCATCTCTACCTGAAGTCCCACAGTGCTTCAAACCCACTCACCCAACAGCAAATCCACCACATCCCCTCGTCAGGTCAGCCTTTCCCCAGGGCTGTGCCAGCTGGTGACCACCACTGAGACTAGCCCACTGTATCTTTCCTATCTCAGTGTCGTCTTTGTCACTGCCTGGCCATGACAGCCAGCCTGACTTAAGTCTGCCCTTCCAGGGATAGCAGAGAAGTCCTACAAGGCAGCCAAACCACCTCGGCCTGCTGCCACCCCTTTGGTGGCTTAGGGGTCCACTGCGTGAAAACACCGTCAGCACTCCTCCCTGCTACATCCACCTCTCCCGTCTTTGTCCTGGACTTGCCCTCCAGCAGGGCACCTACCTGCTGCTCTGTGCAGGCCACCCCATTTCTGGCCTCTGCATTCACTCTGGCTGCCCCTCTGCCTGGAATAGTTTTCCTCTGGTCACTATTTCCCCAGCCTGTGTTTTCAGGACCTCTCTAAGCACCGGTCACTACCCATGCTCTGTTTATGAGTCTCAGACAAGGGATCTGTCTCCCCACCCAGAACTGTCCATTCCAGGGCTTCCCAGACAGCCCAATTACAGGAAATGCTTAGCAGCATGAGAACAACCAAATGCCTGCCTCATCTTCTTGAGATCACCTGAATGATTACAGACACTTTGTCCAAGTCTGAATTTATGGCCTTAGAAGTTGTAGGTGTTTACCGAATTCACGGCCTTAACTTTCTGAACTTACTTGAAGAATTCAGTAGGTGTTTACTGAATTCCTGGCCTTAACTTTCTGAACTTACTTGAAGAATTCAGTTTTTTCCTCTTCACTCTTCAGTGTTAAGCTTTTCAAGAAATTCACAATTTCTAGAAAATCATTTCTAAATGACAGAAAGAAAAAATATATAGCAAAACATTAAAGAAAGCACATTAAATGTTAAAGTCATGACCACAATCCATACCATTATAATTTTCAACAAATAATTATTCTCACTCGGGCATGATGGCACACACCTGTAATCCCAGCTATCTGGGAGGGTGAGGCAGGAGGATCACAAGTTGAAGGTCAGCCTTGGTGACTTGGTGAGACCCTGTCTCAAACTAAAAAAATTCTTTAAAAGGCTGGGAATGTGCTCACTATGAAGGTCCTGGAGTCAAGCCCCCATAGAGGTGAGGCTACTTAAAAGATTTCTTGGGGGGGTGGGGGGCAATACCACAGATTGAACCCAGGGCCTTTGAACTGACCTACATCCCCAGCCTATTTTCATTTTATTTCTTATTTTGAGATGAGGTCCTGCTAAGTTACCCAGAATAGGCTAAACTTGCAATCCTCCCATCCCAGCCTCCCAAGGACCTGGGATTATAGGTGTGCACCACTACTCAGTTCATTTAAGATTCTAAGTAGCATATGAAACAAATAATATGGAACAAGCTGATGGGAATCTAATATTGCCATACCAAAGAGATTTGTGAAGAGGATACAAATTTACACACATGCTAACATGCTTTGAGGTTTAACAGTCACCATAACCCCCCAAAAGTTCTTGTTGTGATGGAATGTCATAAAATAAAATATCCTGGGAGAAATGACATTATCAATACAAAAATAGCTGTTGATTTATCAAGACTACCTTGGTGAATAGAAACTATTAAAGATGACTGGAGAAAGTGGAATTTGTGTATGAATCACAGAAATCTCATTTCTCCTGCTGTAAAGTGTCATTCTTGGGGTAAGGGATGGTCACTTTCCTCTGGGGCTCTCAGAGCCCCACAAGTGATGGACTATTCAGCTCCAAGGAACCATAGCTCACATCCTACCACACAGGACCACCACTGGCTTAGACACATAGCTGGACAGCCGATCCGGTAAACACAGCTACTACATCTCCACATGGCATGTTAACATCTGTGGTGGACATTCTAACAACCTAAGGATCAGGGAACCAACCTTCATGGAGGTGAAAATCCACCTACAGCTTCTAACTTCCTAAAACTTATCTACTAATAGGCTTACTAATAAAATAACATAGCCAATTAACACATATTTTATGTTACATGTATTTCATTCAATGAAAATCACACAAAATCTTCAAGATCACTGTTTCCTGTGATTGGCAATTTCCTAGGGAAATGATATGCCTCAAATGGATTTTTTGGTTTGAAACAGCATTTCACTATGTAGTTCAGGCTGGCCTTGAACTTGCTATGTAGCCCAGACTGGCATCACGACAACCCTCCTGCCTCAGCCTCCTGAGTGATGAGGATATAGGCATGCACCATCAAGCCTGGTTCAAATGGAATTTTAAGCAGACACAATGTTCTAGCTCCTTGCAGTAGCAACAGGAAGAGGCTAAAAATTATTGCATAGTATGTCTTACTTATGATACTACATTTTTATATTGGTTTACATTTTCCTCAAGTGCAAACCATACTACGTACAGTTTGTTCATAAATTTTAATAATTTCAACTTCTGGGGCTGGGGATTTAGCTCAGTGGCACAGCGCCTGCCTGGGCAAGCGCAAGGTCAGGAGTTCGATTCCCGATACCAGAAAAAAAAACACAAAAAAAACCAAAAGAAAAGAAAAAAATTCAACTTATACAAATTTGTGTATATTTTATGGTAGTAAATGATAAACTACTACCTAAGTATCTTATGCATTCATGACACATCTTTTTCTTAATTTTTCTCAACATTTCTGTGCTATGAAGTTCAAGTTTTCAAACTGTTAAAAATCTCCAAAACAGAAACTAAAAATGCAGATGAGTTGACCCTTATAGTTCAAACCCACATTGTTCAAGGATAGGCTGTATTTTCCCCTGGTTCTGTAGCAGAGGAAACACACGAATGCCTTAACTGTAATCAGACCAGCTCAGCTCCTTGGCAAGGACACTGGCCCTGGCTCTTTCCTCCGTCTCTGGCCGGTTCTCTCCTCACATGCCACATGGATGGTGGGGGCATGCTGTTACTTTTAGTTTTTCTCTTCCCTTTCTAGTATATAATTCTTAATAAAGAACTCATATTACAGTAATGAGAAAATCTATTTATTGTGAAGGATTGTTCTTTGCAGAGAGTTTATATGGAGGAAAATAAAATATTCCCAAGAATCATCTAAAAGGATATGGATGGTTAACAGGCTCCTGTAATGGTAAATATATACTGTATATTTGTCAATTTGAAAAAAAGGATAGGTGAAGAAACAAAAATCACACAGTGGAAAAAGTTTTAAACCATCTTTGGGGAAACATAATGACAAATATAACCCCAGTACTTATAGTTTGGTAATGGCGAACCTTTTAGAACTTTCAGTGCTAACAAACAGCCTGCTGTGGCACACATGCTGGAGCTTTGCCACCACTGCTATAGTACAACAGTACTTATTATAGTACAACAGTACTTATTCAGTAACTCCACACACCCCACCAAGTACTACTTTCCCTTCTGGGATAGGAGATTTCCTAGTGCTCTGTTTTCTTTCAGGCTCCAAATGGAAACACACGAAGATGCTTACCATAAAGTCAGCCATACTAATAAATGTCATGGATACGGAGAACTCATATTAACCTGTGAGGAAGTTCTGCCATCATGGAGGACACATACAGAAGATATTCAGAAGCATCTCTGAACCCAGGAAGATAGTAAGTTATAATGCACCCTTCCCTTTTAAGCCAACATCTTCTTCTTCCATTACATATTTCCTTTTTCTTTTCACTATGCAAACATGACTTTATTTTTGTGATTCCGTGGGAACTAACAGATACCTGTCTGTTTAGGCTTACACAGTTCTATTAGCAAAGTTATACATGTGAACCTTGCTTTATTAAAGTATGTCTCAGCTATGTCATGAAGACACCTGCAGGAAAAAGGAGAAATAACCTTCATTTCTCCTAGACCAGTAAGTGACATTTGAGGCAGTCATCAGTGTTGTGTTTTTTGTTCTCAACCTAATTTTAATCTTTTTCTTCGAATTTGTATTTTTAGTAGTATGTTCACAGTACATAATGACTACATTCCTGTGGAGAGTCAGTGCATATACACCTCAATTCTTTATCATCCCCTTCCCCGCCTCTCCTTCCCCCAGTCCCTCCATCTCTTGGTCTCCTTCCCTTTTGCAAAAAGTCTATTTCCTATTATCTATCTTTCATTTTGTATTGATACTTTCGGTCTCTCATATAAGAAAAACCATGCAATACTTAAAATTGTGTGTCTAATTTATTTTTTTCAACATTATAGTCTTGAGGGGCATCGTTTTCTTACAAAAGACTCAAGTTTATCCTTATGGCAGAGGAGAACTCCATATTCTTCACATATTTATAAAAACAAACAATCTGCCCGAAGAAAAATAAACTCACTCCTCCTCCCATAAGAAAAATTCAAGATAACATATTCTTATCAATAATACCATAGCAGCACAAAGGAAAGGCCATGTTTGTTAACATATTCAATTAACTTACAAGTGTGAACCTCTTGATGCATGTGGCTTCTTCACCATCGAAGTCCTAAGAAATCAGGATGTAATTTCTAAACCCAAGGCCTCAGTCAATCAAGTATCTATAAGTTCCTTTCTGTGACAGAACCTGGGCTAATAACTATGAAGACGGTGCCACTGGGTCCTACCCACCGTCACAGAATGTACCACACAGGCACACAGGAGGCAGCCGAAGTGCACACTGGGCGCCCTCACCTGAAGAAGTCATGGGACAGTAAGGTGCGGAGCGCGGGCCGACAGTGTGGAGTGGGATTCAGCAGGGCTGTGTGCAAGGTCTGCTGAAAGCTGGAGAGAACATCCGCTGAAACTGAAATCCAGAGCGACAGTTAGTTTCCAAGGGCTTCTCCCTCCTTTCAGGACCTCTATAGCTGGAGACTGACGAGAGCAAAAACCAACCTGTAAAAGCCCAAACACACAAAGCCCTGGCTGTTGCGAAACAGCTTCTTGCTTTAAGCCAAATTCCTTGGCAGGTGTAGAAAGGGGTCCTGCCCATACCACCCACTCCCAGATGCCTTTTCTTCCATGTAGCCAGCGCGGGCCCAAAGAAGGAGGCTTAGGTGGTAGGCAGAGGCCCTTTCTCAACCAAGGCTCCTCATCATAGAACACAGGGAGATATTCGATGACATTTTCAACTCTTCCAGAGATGGTAGGTACTTGGCACCATTCTAGATGCATGGCACAGCAGTCTGTCCATTAAATACAACCCATACCTCAGGACCTTAGGATTTAATTCTCAAATATTTACGCTAGGCCGATGGAGAGCTACCAACCACACGGGCTTTGAACGTCACAGCCCTGTGTAAGCCTGGCAGAAGACATTACACCAGCACTGCACAAAGTTTCTGCGAGCTAAGAGGCCATGAGGGGCCTCATGGGACATGAACCTCAGGAAATTTAACAGGTGGAGCATTAAGGGGCTAGAGAGTCACAGGAGCTGACACAGCCTGCCCAGGAAACAAAAAAAGAGAGTAGAACATAGTGGCTTCAAATAGCCTGGGCTTTAAGAGGCAGTGAAAGGAAAAAGTACTGAATAAATTATCAAGGAAAAAAGTCGAAAGACTTTAAAAGCCCTGATTTGGAAATTAATAAAAAATTTTGTGTCTTATTACATCTTACTCATTAATGGCATTTTAAAAACTACTGGCTGGCTTAATAGGTTTACAGACGTCACACTCTGTAACCACAGGAAAGAGAGTCTTCAGATCACAAATACTATCACCAATTACTAAGATAAATCTGCTGGGAGTGGTAGTGTATGCCTGTAATCCCAGCACTCTGGGAGGCTGAGGCTGGAGGATTGCAAGTACAAGCCCAGCTTGGGTAACTCACCAATTTATGGAGACCCTGTCTCAAAATTTTTAAAAAAAAGTTTTAAAAAAGGATGGAGGACTGAGCATACAGCTGGGCATGAAGGCCCCAGATTAAATCTCCAATACAGGGCTGAAAGGGGAAGATACGAAGTACATGATAGTGACAGCCATAGTTTGAAGTGCTTCTGACTTCAGTTCAAACTAATGGAATCCAAAGGTTCCTTCCTTACTGCTGTTTACATCTGCCCTAAATAAGTTACGGGGCCGATAGTAGGTTCCTTACTACGATCAAAGACTGCAGTCCTCTGAATTCCACGCAAAACAGGCATGGATGAAGTTCTCACTTAGCCTGTGGATTCATGAGTGTAACTCCAACTCACCCTGTTCATTTAAGATTGTGAGCAAGCTTTCCACCAATGTTCCAAAGGAATAGGCATCCCGAGCATGTCCATGAGACTCTGGAAGAGTTGTGAATTCTGGAGACTAAAAGCAGTAATTCTATTAGAACTATAGGATCTGCCTTCCAAGCCATTCCTGACTTTCTCTGAAGCACTTTCTCCTATGTTTACACTTACTATACTCATATCTAACTTCACAGTATCACACGCTCATTTACAAGCTTTAACACTGTTAGCGTACTATACCACATAAATAGCAGGTCGGACAAATAAAAAATAAAACACCCACTACTGGCGGAATTTATCAGATTTAAAATATCAAATAGTAGCAAAAAGAAAGTCAAAATATAACACATGCTTGGGGCTTTCAAAAATATTTTTATATTTTCCTTATATTATCATGTCTAAATCTAGTACATACTCGTATGTCTAAATATATAAGTAATGAAAGCAAAAGTTTCATAAAATAATACTGAGTCTTATCTAAATGCTCAATGATATTTCTCTTTTATTGCCTTTTTCAATTTTTTCAAAGTGCTAGTCAGGACCTCCTCTTAAGGTATCTTAAAGCTCAAAAATTATCAGTTTGAAAAAAAAAAAAAAAAAAAATTATCAGTTTGAAGAACACTGCAATACATACACAATAGCTGATTTATTTCAAGCCTCTAGTAGATAACTAAGTTTATAACTGGGTTTGTATTACATGTAAAGTACACCATCTTACAACGTATCTTTAGGAACTAATGTTTATTTACAGTGATTGTAAGAACAAAGTACTGGGGCATTTGCTTTTGAGTTTATGGGTACATAGAATACTACTAGCACCATATTAAAAAACTCTTGTATGCATTATGGAACCCTAATAGCCAAATAGGTGGCTGGGATGACGCACAGAAAAAGACGAAGGATGCTGCTTCTCCAACAAACATGGCTTCCAGCGAAGCAGAAGGACTCATCCTGCAAAAGATGTAACACTATGTTCCCACTGAGGTGTCTCTATCTCTATACAGTACCACAGGTACCCAGTGAACTGAAATAAGCAAGCAGGCTCCATGGCTTAATATTAATCTTAGAAGGTTTCAAAGTCGAAAGAACTATGAGGCATCTCTATAATTTAGTAAAGAAAGGAACAGGCAGAGGGGAAGGTTTTGTAAGTTTCACACTAACTATGCAAAAGTGCCTTCATTACATCTACAGTATGTCATCTTACCATCTCTTCAGGAGGGACAGACGCTGCGTCTCGAACTGACCGAATATTCTTCAGAAACTAGGTAGAGAAATTAAGAAACAGTTTATACACATTCGGTGAACCAATCTTTTACACTCAGCTACCAAATCAGTAAGCAACAGAAACAGCAGCAATGAAATCTTGAAAGTAATGCTACACTTTAAATACATAAATTTAAATCTTCCCAATTAAAAATGTAAATATAGAACCTGGCACAGCACAAGGCTTAGAAAATAAATATTGGTTTCCTGTCATCTCCTTTTTAACTGCTTTAATGGACAGCCCCTGTTGTTAGAGAAACCTATGTGCCTCATTCCTTATATGGAAATTAGGAATACTTCTTTCTCTTCTTGATAGACATTAACAATTAAAAGACTTTTCAGTTGGGTGTGGTGTACATGCTTAAAGTCCCAGCAATTCCAGACACCTAGGTAGGAAGATCACTTGAGCCTATGAGTTTGAAAATAGCCTGGGCAATGCAGACTCTATATCCAAAAAGGACATTCTGGCATATGTCATGGCTTATGTCTAGATGCCCTACCAAAGCCTCATGTAGTAAGAGGTGGAGCTTTTTGGAGGTGGCTGGATCTAGAGTATGTGATCCTGGGATTAAGGGTGTGATGCTGGGATTGATTCATTGTGTGATCCTAGGATTGAGGGTGCCTTACCCTGGGTGTGAGTGCTATCCACCTCTGGCTAGAATATAGGGGACAAAAGGAGGAATGCTGCTGTTGCTTGCTACTTCACTGCTTTGCTGCCTTCTGCCTACCATGAACTCTTTCTCCTTTGTGATGTCCCTGTGCCATGCCACCCTGCTTTGGAGCCAGCCAACTATGGACTGAAATCTCTACAAACTCTGAGCCAAATAAACTTTCCTCCTTTAATTTTGGGTGTCAGATATTTTATCTCAGCAACAAGAAAAGTAACTAAGACAGCAATGAATAAGTCTATCATGAATCTAACTAAATCAAGTGAATCTTGCCTTGGTGCCATGTGAGACATGAAAGTTGAGAACCTTATGAGCTATGGAGACAAAATCATCATCTACAGAGTAAGTGAATTCATTCACCACTTAGAAATGAAATGAAATGGATTCTCTGCTCACCCAACCATGTGCTCATAATCTAGAAGACAAACTAAAAATTTCAATAAATGTGTTGAGTATCATGTAATGAATGATTAATTCTGCTGGATGACAGAAGGATTTACAGAACAGAGATTACAGTTAGATCTTGGATGAGTTTACATTTGCCAGGGGAAGGAAAGCACTCCAACAATGGAAGGGCACACAAAGGAAGAGGAGATAAGGGAGAGCTGCACACTTGAAATCCCAGCTGAGCGTGTGAAGAGAAAGGAGCTGGAGTCCAGCTCAAGCACTGGGAGAGGTGGATGGAGCAGGAGGTAGGCTGAAGAAGAGACTGGGGAAGGTTTTAGATGTCATAGCAAAGCATTTGTTTCCTTGGCAGATAACCCACACACTGTTATACTCATTAGACATAATAGAGTGAGCGCAGAGTGTTCAGTGGGACAGCAGTGACAGAGAAGTGTGTCAGCGACAGCCGCAGGATTTGAAAGGAGGAGGAGCCCATGAAAGCGCCATGTGACAAGGAAGCCAAATGTGGAGAGGCGGCGCATGAGAACAGGTAGGTCAAACCGTGAGCTGCCACTTCCACAGGGATGTGAGGATGGGAGTGGTTTTTAATGTTATCTTTTCCTAGAAAAGAGTAAGTCCAGGAGCAACATATAAAGTGGTGAAAAGAAACAAAACAGAAAAGAAAGGCTCATCAGTCTAGGAAAAAAATGTGGAGCTATATCAGACAAAATATAACAAGTACCCCAGGTAGCTACACCATAGCATAGGAGCAGGACTTAATACGCACAGATCCTAATTCAGTGAGGAGGACATAAATATACGACTTTGGCAACTTGCACAATTGTTTGATCAACATTTGTTAAATATCTAATGTGAGCCAGGCACTATTCCAACTGGAGCTACAGATAAATATAAGAGACCATCACATCCTGAAGAAATTCAATGGCCAGGATAAAAGACACATAAAGATAATTTCAATATATGAAGCATTAAGTGGTCTAATCAAAACAAGTATGGTGTACTGTAGGGAGCAGAGAGGTGGGCTGCTGCAGACCGGGCTGTACAGTGTTAAGCTGCTGAACACACAGACCTCTGGCCGTGTTGGAAAAAAGCATACGCATAGTGCCCTGAGATCAAGATAACCACAGCTGAGACAGCCAAGAACATGGGCTGCTGAACCCCCATTCCACAGCAATAAAGCTGCCAACCTTAGAGATCAAACAGTTCTTTTAATTGGCAAAATTTACTGCCTGGAGAAGTCTTTGAACTGACTCCCAAAGACCTGCTCAGTTCCTGTGCTTGCCTCAGTATCCCCTTCCTTTGTTTGAAAACCAAATAAATACAGCCTGTCACTTATCAAGATGCTATTAATCCTCAATGAGGAAGGGCCTAGCACCTGGCTTACCTCTGGCGTGGCCTGAGACACTTTACAAACAGTCTCCATTCCTCCTAGCTTCCAGTGCCCATCTTCACTCACAAACACAGAGGCTAAGCAGACATTGTTGTGTGTTAGGTGTCCCTGGAAAAAGAAAAGAAGACGACTGCCACTCCAATTTTTGAAGTTCAAGTTTTAAAAAACTACCTATCTCCAAAAAATATTATGGCAAGCCTTCCCACTCTTGGCATAACGAATGAAACAAAGCTTTAGGAATAATCAAAGTTAGAAAATAGGAAAAATGCAATAGAAAGGCTTCTATTACCTCTGCAGCCTGATGGAGCAGCTTAATAAAGACATTAAGGCCATTTGCAGTCTAGCGCTTTGCTTTTCTACAGGAATCAGGAGACAAATGTGCCCTTCAGTGTCAATTTACCAGTCTTCACCTTGTATAACGACAGCCTGTAACATCTACTTCTAATACCTTTAAAGATAACATTTATCTTTGGGGCCATGGGTTATTTTAGTCACTTTCTGCTCTCAATTCTTTCTCACCTACATTCTATCATGGACTCAAGTCCACTTCACCTGAAATCTTGTTTGTAGGCATTTAAAAAGTTTTGCCTAAAGAAGAGGAAAACGGAATAAGGACCACCAGAAATATCCCACAGCTCACAGAAGAGTCAATTTTAAAACTATGAAAATACATCAGTCAAATAAGTAAGAGAAAGGGAGAAAATAAGAATGGGTCAAATATTTAATTGTTTTTCCAACCAAAAACCATGCCAGTACATGAAAGAACACTTTAAATATTCTACCCACAAGATAAAATGTGTACATTTTAAAAATACAGAACACTCTGATATATCTATATGACATATCTAAAGTGTGTGTGTGTGTGTGTGTGTGTGTGTGTGTGTGTCTGGCTTAGGATAATATTTACGTATGGTGTGTTTCCATTTGAGGAAAAATAAAAGAACAAGCACACAGATCTTTGCTTTACATGTGTAAGACACATGCCTGGAATTACACACTGACCATCATAGTTGCCTCTGAAGAGAAGAGCTAGATCCAAGGGTGGATTTGAGCAAGAGGGACTGATTTTTTCCCTCTGTGCACTTGCATATTGCATAAATGTTTGACCACATGCATGGCTTTCAACAAAGAAGACATTCTTCCCCAGGGGGGCAGTAAGGTTGTTACGTGAACTTAGAAACAATAGCCTTAAAAAATAGCAGCACAACACCGTCAAGATGGACAGTAAACAGAACCACCATGTTACTAAAAGGGCAAACAGTGCCCAGAGCAAAGCATCCTAACTACTGGGAAGTGTTCAAGGGCAGTCTCACAACTGACTCCCCACTCAATGGGAAGGAGGAGCATAGCTCTGCTTCTTCCCAAGACACGGGCATTTCCAAGCTCTCCAATGAGACAAGCATTGGGGAAACAGGATCCCTGGTCTACAGTAAGTGACACTAATACTAAAGCTTTGTTTTAACAAATACTAGCTGTAACTGTTATTAGGTAAAGACTTACGCAAAAGCAGAGGCAGACTACAGTAAACTGAAATCAGATTGGAACCAAGAAGTAGTTGCCCCTTCCACAAACCATCAGTCACATCTCTTGTCCCTTCCACACCATTCTTGCAAGTACTGACACCTATGACCCCAGGTCGACATCAAGCCCCGTGAGGCAACTGCACAGGTTACTCACCCTGTCGTGAAGGAAGACCAGTGCCAGCAGTATGTCATAAATGCCAGCACAGACCTCTGCGGCAGACAGCGTTTCCAAGGCCACTTCCAGAGGCTGCACTCGCTCAGTGACAAGGTGAATGCCGTCTGGTTCCACAGTACAAGATAAAAATCTTAGCAAGCAAGGGTGACGAAGGGTCTTCAAGTGCTTTAAATATAAACAGAGGAGCTGATGAATTACCATTTCACATACACTGTGGTTAAAGTCACCAACTGTATACTTGCATTTAAAGTCCTTTCAAGCTTCCTGCCTTCTCCTAAATTTTCAAATATGGAAAAGAAGGTCTACAGCTTGTTGGGATTTTACTTTACTTACCAACGTCTAAACAACTCTACAAAGACTTCCATTCCCCTCTGACAGTTAAGTCCCCAAAGAGCCCACATACTCCAACGATGGCTGCTATGAATTCTGATCAAAGTGACATAAACACCACCACAGAACTCGGGAAAATAAACTGTTGAGCACAAAGATTATGGAGGGGAGTCAAAATTTAAAGAAGTGACAAGCATAGGAATGAGTTTCCTGGTCTAGCGAATGAATTTTTCCTCCTTTCTACAACTCTGCACTAAAGGCCGGCATCAGCAGAGGAGCAGGGTAGCATGCATGTAGAGTCACAGGAAAGGGGGGAAATTCAGAATCAAGTGGAAATATTGCTTGATTCAAACTTCTGTTGCTTCAGAGAACAGGGCAGCAACACGATGCACTTGCAAGGGTAATTACCTACAGAATGTGTTCTCAATGAACACATGAACAAATAAATGGCTCTTGTTCTGGTGCGCCCAAGCTGAAAGTACGCATCCCAAAGTTACTGAATTCCTACTGCACCCTACTCGCCACTAGGTGCTGGTCTCTGCAATACAATTTTGAGTAAGGACTTTTACTAATAAACATGAATAACCCTGTGTACAGTATTAGTACTATTTGTACTTGCTTGTACCCATATGTATCTATGCAGAGATCTTAAAAAAGTGAAATTCTAGCCCTAAATACAAGCAATTCTTGTTTTTCAGGAATCAGTTATGACTGAGCAACCTAAAAATGTAATTCAAGGCTTAGAGCCTTAACTTTTCATTGCTGTTCTGCTTCTAATTTACTTCATTCTGAGATCTACATGAAGTTAATTGACGTGGTCTCTTATCTGTACCTTTAATCCACCTGCAAGCTCTTAGGGAAAAGGCTACAATTTCATGCTGTTAAATAGATATAACAAAATAACCAAGCTATTCTACAGAGCAATTTTTAATGAAAAATATATTATCTCTTCAAGATATAAATCTGGGACAAAGATGAGATGCAGATTCATTCTGTTTTTAAATACTCTGTTCTAACAAAGTTGGACCAAAAGGTAGGAACAAGGTCGGGTGCAGTAGCCTGTAATCCCAGTACTTTGGGAGGCTGAGGCAGGAGAGAGCAAGTTGGAGTCTCTCCTGAGCAATTCAGCAACTCAGTGAGACCCTGTCTCAAAATTAAAAAGGGATGGGGATGTAGCTCACTGTAAAGTCCCCAGGTTCAATCCCCAGTGTTGGAAGAAAAAAACAAAACCCTAGAAAATACAAATATAACCCTAGAAAATATAAAATACAGAAAGAGATAAAGAATTTCAGTTTGGAAAGCCTGCACTTGAGTGCTGGTGGATACTCCTGGCGCAGGTATCCAACGGACAGGTGGAAATGCAGATGTGGGGATCAGATAAGAGATTCGGGCAGATACTCAGTTTGGGTGAGAAGCGACAACTGTGAGCACTAAAGAAGACAGTGAAGTCTGGACAGTGTGGTGGGGAGATAGGAGACTATAGTTCCCTCTGGTAGTTCTGCACACGTCAGGGACAGGAAATACTTCTGCAGTTCTTCTGAGTGGATGGTAATCGGGAGTCTCGTAAGAGGACCACAGTCTGATTACAAAGGGATAGAAGTCATTTCTGAAAGAAGTTAACAAGGTAGGGAAGTTCATTTACAGTGGGATGAGAGTTGTAAAGAGTGTAAGAAAAGCCTAAGAGCCAACAGAAGAAAATGAGAATACGAGAAAGGGCGGAACAACAGGCCCGACTCCAATGCAAGTGCCTCTGAATACTGCAATGACTTCTTCCATCTCTTTGTCAAGCCCATACAACGTAATTTTTTTTTTGTCTTTTTGAGACAGGGTCCCGCTCTGCAGTTCAGGCTGGCCTTGAACTCACTTTGTAGCCCAGGCTGGTCTCAAACTTGCAATGATCCTCCTGCCTCAGCCTCCCGAGTGCTCGGATTACAGTGTGTGCCGGCCATTGAGCTGTCTAATATTGTAAGCAACCCTTCCACAAAGCAGCCTAGCTCTGCTATGAGAAGAGCACAACATCTCTCCGGACCGGAAGTGAAGTACGCGTCTGATAGCTACACATCTATGCGCACAGTCTTCTGTGATTCCTGGTATAAAGACACTTAGGAATCACTTTTATAAGCTTGTAATTACCATGAAGCCTTAACTAAGCACTTGTATTACAGCAAACTGTAGTCATCAAATTCGGACTTAGAATATATCATCCATTTCAGGATATGAGTTACAATGAATCCAAATCACCAATGAGCAAATTATACTATTAATTATAGTTGCTGAATTCAAGAAAAAATGAGGTGAAACGAAGCTATTTTTCATACTGTTTTACAATCAGAGCTTATACCTGTACTTCACCTTATTCCAGAGGCCAAACAGTGTACTGTTTTTACTTTTAACAGTAGCGAAAGAGTATACCCAATAATACTTGTGAAGGAGTACACTACTGGCTGAAATAGTCATTGAAACTATCAAAGGTAGAATCAGGAACCCAACTAGATGGTGAGGTAGGCTAACCACACTGCTTTATTATTCAGATATTTAAGACATAACACGACATTCTTTTGTCTTTTTAAGGCAGGGTTTCACAGCAGTTCAGGCTGGTCTTGAACCCACTTTGTAGCCCAGGCTGGCCTTGAACTCATAGCCATCCTCCTGCCTTAGCTTCCCAAGTGCTGGGATTACAGGTATGCAGCACCACATCTAGCAAGGACATGGCATTCTTAAAACCTAAGGTGCTGAATACTATACATTTCTCAAATCCTGTGACTTAATTTTTGAGACTATCAGAAACATTCTGGGGCTGGGGATTTAGCTCAGTGGCACAGAGCCAGGTGCAAGGTCATGAGTTCAATTCCCGGTACCAGAAAAAAAAACAAACAAACAAAAAAAGAAACATTCTGATAATGTAAACTCCTTATGGCCTTGTTGCCATTTCAAATTTCTGATTCAGGTCTGAGGTTTTCAAATCCACAGGATAGCTGAAGGAAGAGACAAATATGAATTACATGCAGAGACTCAGTCACAGCTTAACAAGGTATCTGGACACTAAAGAAGGAAAGTCTCTTTCACGCTCTGCGATTCCTCCAGCACAGACACACACACCACCAATGCATCCCTGTCTCGTTCCTTTTTAAAAATTATATGATGTGGATTATCTGTCAGGGTACAAGTCAAACAATTTTTAAAACTCCTGAAATCTTAAAAACTAGGAGAGATTATAAACTTTCATCACTTGGTTACAGTCATTCTAAATTATTAAAAAGCAATATACATAATCTTATTAGATGGAAATAAGAGAAAATATGTTAGATATTAACTGCATATTAGTGTCTTTTGGAAAATCACAATAAAAACTTATTAACCATGTCTAAATGGAGTGGAAAAATGACAAAAATGTTGTTTTGCCAAAAAACAAAACACTTCAGCAAAACAGCCAGCTCTACTTTTTCACCACAATGTATTACAAGAAAATGCACCTGGGCTGTGGGTATAGCGCAGTGGGAGAGTGTTTGCCAACCATACACAAGACTGGGTTCAATGTTTCTGGGTTCAATCCCCAGAATTGCAAAAAATAAGTAAGAGAAAATGCACCCTGAGAAGAGTGTTACAAGACTTTTTTCTTAGGAACTGTCTTATAACTTAATTTCATGTTTTATCAAAGATGCAACATCAAATAATTAACTAGTGTGACCAATGAAATGTCAAAATGACACCACTAAAGAACCATTTATAGAGTTCTATGAAATATAAATTTTCGTATGTGTTGCTATTTAAAAGGGACTCATGGTAATATAGATCTTAATTTCAACAAAATAAAGAGCTATCACATTCAACACGAAAATATGTTCCTGCCCTAGTAAACACTGAAGAATTAATGAATACAAGTCTGTTTTCCTCTCTAGAAACCTTCTGAAGATGATCTAAACGGCTGAAAAGACATTTGGCATGGTCTTGCTGAACTGTCCACAGTCGAATCATGTGTTTTCTCTTTTTTTGTGGTGCTCTTAAATCTGCACCCTTGCACATGGTGGCAAGTGCTCTACACTGACTTACGCCCCCAGCCCTAGAACCACTTTTCCCACTGAGGCTGGGGTCACGTGACAGTGTCAGACGACGAACTAATGGACGGGGGTACCTTAGCCAGCAGCAACAGTGACCAGGTGTGAGCTGACAGGACCTTTTCCTAAGGGAGGCATACAGCCTCCACAAATTAATGACCTAAGATACCTCACCAGTAACCACAACATAGGTCCAACATTCTTTCAAGGGGAGCCACTCCACTACAGTAGTTCAAAATCTTTTCCAGGGCATCACAATGTCTCAAGAAAAGACCAAAAAAAAAAAGAAAGCTCCTACCATATTTTATTTCTAGGCCCACCATTAACACACTAATTAAAATGTCAATATAGCACTTTTGTTAGACTAATTTCCTCTCCTAAATAAACCATGTAAAATTACCTAACATTCTCACTAAAAAAAAATGAACTATGAGAATGCAAACCACAACAATAAATTTCATGAAGCTTTCAGGTATCTCTTTGGTACCTGCTGAAGATACAGTAGACCCATAAAGTAAGGACAAGTAAGCTTTTATAAGACATGAAAGATAAAATATTCTTCCTTATGGTCTCACCTCCTTTGATCTTTATTAATTTCCTTTTAAAAATAGGAAACAAGATAGTAAAAGTATGACTAAGCCGTCACCTAGTATGGTACCTTGGCAGCTTTATTAACTTTGTCTTCATTTTCTCTCTTATACACAAAAACTGAAGCAAATTTGCCATCTTGCAGTACAGCAGGATAAACAGCAAGTCCAGCGGGTAAAGTAAATGGTGGTTCTTTCAGTGTATAGCTCTTTAAAGCACTATTCTCTGATCCCATCCCTTATGCCGTGGGGCAGTCTTCAGCTCCTCCTCAAAGCAAACAGACCTAAAAGAAAACACAAAACAATTGCAAATGTCAACTGTCTATGTATAAGCAAGAGAGGTCCATGACGCCCACTCAAATACCCACTCAAATCTACTCATTTCTGCAACCTTGTAACTAGGGCATTAGGCAGTAGAAATGGTAGCAAGTTATCAACAATGCTGGTGAACTCACAGGAACAACTCCAGAGAACACGCATGTTATCAAATAATCACAGGTGATTTCTGTTCTTCCCCCAAACTCCACCACACACAAACTTTCAGTTTCTTACGACAATCCAGAACAGAACACAGTAATTCATACTTCCTAATTTGCTTATATAGCCAGACCCAAAAGGAAAATGTTGCAAAATTTGGTTATTCACAAACAATAGCCAGGTATGGTGCCAAATGCCTAATTCCTACATTTTGGGAGGCTGAGGCAGGAAGACCACAAATTCAAGGTTAGCCTTGGCAATTTAGTAACTTACGAGAATCTGCCTCAAAAATAAAAAATTTAAAAAGGATGTGGATTCACATCCACAGTTCAGGGCAAAAAGACCTAGATTCAATTGCTGGTACTATAAAAAAATAAACAGCTGGGAGTGATGGTGTATGCCTGTAAACCCAGAACTCAGGAGGGCGACTGAGGCAGAAGGACTGCCACAGGTTCAAGGCCAGCCTGGACTACACAGTGAGTTCCAGGCCAGCAGGGACTCCACAGTGAGACCCTGTCTCAAAAAAACACCACAAAAAACCAAAACAAAACCAAATAACTAATACGACTTCGGTATGTATAAAATTAAATTATAAAGGACAACCATACAAATGGAGAACACACTGATGAGACATGTTAACAAATGGAAAGCTCATATAAGTCAAGTAAAAGTCTAAAACACCAGTAGAATAATGGAAGAAACTCTGAAGAAATGCAAATGACAATAAACTTAAGAAAAACTGCCCTCTCCCTACTCCTCAAAGTTACACTAAGTAAAAAAAGTGGAAACTACAAAACTATGATCACAAAATCTAAAACACACAAATAAAATTCTAGAAAATACAAACTATGACAGAAAATAGATCAGTGTTTGTCTAGAGAGAGGGGGCAGGGAGAAGGGAGAAGAAAGGATTACCAAGGGATATGCAGAAACTTGGAGGGGTGGATTATTTTGACGATGATGAGGGTGACGAATAATTACAAATATCAAAACTTATAAAACTATACACTTTATGTACAGTTTCTTCTATATCAATTATACTTTAATAAAGTTGCTTTAAAAAAGATACATATGGCTGAGCATGATGACACATGCCTGTAATCTCAGTATTCATGAGGCAGAGGCAGGAGGATGGGCAAACTTCAGTGCAGTCTGGGCAACCTAGTGAGACTTCTCAAAAAACCAAAAAGAGCAAGAAAAAGAGCAGGAGTCTTGAAAATCTGTGACAATCAGTTTTCATTTTGGGCTTTATGTAATAAATTTTAAAAAATACAATTCTTATTAACTCTGGCAGTGTGGCAAGCAAATTACTACTTCTAAGTAACATAGGCAAAAATCTATGTAGACAGGTATAAATTTTCTGTTAAAAATCCATAGTTTTGGGACAAAGGTGCAGTAATCATTCCACATTTCTCCACTTGGATTTTCCCCTACTTTGGTGAACTTCCATATAACATTTTCTAACACTGTTTTGTCTATGCAGTGCAGCTCTAACACATACCTAACACACGAAGTACAGTATGCACAGACCCCTGTACATCAGCATGTAAGGAACACATTGGGTACAGCGGCTGAAGCTATCTAGCATTAAAGCTCTTCAAAGTCTAAGAATGGTCTGCTTTGTAACAAAGCCACTGTGTTCTGCCCTACTTAGCAATTTATCTTTCTTAAGGTTGATATAACCAGGCTCTCTGGCTCATGCCTCTCGTCCCAGCACTCTGGAAACATAGGTAGGAGGGTGCCAAGTTCAGCCCCAGCCTGGGTTACAAGGCCAGACTCTGTCTCAAAACAAAAGAAAAAAGCAAAACACACACACCACAAAATTTATACAGACAAAAAGTATACTACAGTGTACTACTTCAACTACAGGATAAATTCAACTTCCCACTGGAATGACAAAGTTTATGAAGGACAATGGAGAAAGCACCTACTGTGGAGTGGCAGTGGGGGCCACCTCTGTTGGGAAGGGAAGGTCATGCTTAGCACCTGGATTTTGTGTGTGTGTGTTTTGTTTTGTTTTCTTGCCTCCACCACTTCCTGGGCATACTTTATGAATCTGGTGCCTACGAACCTTGGCCTCAGTGAAGAAACTTGCGACACATCACTGTCTCTACAGGAATATAAACTAGGAAGAGGGTTTTTCTGTTAGTGCCACACCTGAAGGTAGGATGCCAGGAGGTGGGGCTGGGCACTGCGGGCCGACAAAGTACTGAAAGCAGAAACCTGGCAGGCACAGAGGAAGTCAGTTGGCAGTAAGACAACAAAAAGCCAACGCTGGGAGAACAGCTTAGCCCGATTTACAGAGGACATTACTACCCTCCACCTTGAGCCTGGGGTGCTTTGAAGCTATTTCCTCCTTGCCTCACTGGACACCTTACCATCAGCTCCTTTCCCTGAGGCAACTTCAGGGGGTCCCAGTTCTTCGCCACCAACTGCCACTTCAGAAGCAGAAAAAACTTTTCTTTAACCCCTTCCTGAAAAACCAGTCAGACTAGAGGAATGAGTTACAGGGAAAAGTATTTCTCTGAAGCTAGCCTAACCACCTTCTCAGTCACAAAACATAGCCTCTCAAAATCAACACACCGTAAGGGGAGAACTGAAAATAAGGAACTGCAAGCAGGGAATCAGCTGTCTGCTTATTTCCAGTATCGGCCCCCAAAGAGAGGCGGGCTCAGGGAAAGGGTTCTGGCCAGGTAAGTGGCAGGAAGTCCACATCACAGGAACACACATTTAATTACCTTAGTTATTTCTAAACAGCAAAATATTCCTCGTGGGAATACTGAGCCTTACAATATCTATTAACCCGTGATTCAAAATTATGAATACCACTACGTCAGAATTAACAGTTAGTTACAAAAGCATTAGGAAGAAGTTAAAACTGGTGAAACTTTTACAGTAATTCATTTTAGGTATAAAAGACAAAACAGTATCATTTAAAATGTTAAAAAGGGATGACTCAATTTTTTGAGAGAACTCAAAGGAAGGATGCCACTGTACCATGCTGAAAGCACTGACAGAAGTCTACTGACCACCAGTGCAGGCCGAGGGAGCAGCGGGTTACATTCCCCGCCTAGGGCAAATTTCCTAAGGTAAAATAAAAAGGTGTGGGGTTATTACAATTTGAGACTAGCTGCAAGTAGTAATTCTAATTCTTCACACAACTGCATTCAATCCAAGCGGCACAAATACTACAAACAGTGTTTTAAAAATAATTCCGCTAAAATGAACTTCCGAAAATGTAAGACATGTAAGTAACACTAGGACCCCAAAATGTGGTCTCTTGTTTTGAGGAGGGGAGAAAACACAAAATCCCGCTTCTCGGCTGTGAAACTAAGTCACAGGAAAGTAGCAAATGTTATTCTAACATCAGAGCACAGACGTTTTGCAGAATTTATCACCTCTGCTCTATAATCAAGTGTTAGGTCGAATGTCTCTTCTGGGTCTGGTGTCACACACCTGTAATCCTAGCACCTGGGAGGCTGAGGCAGGATGGCTGAGAGTTCTAAGCCAGCCTGGGCTACACAGTGTGGCTCTGTCTCAAAAATCCAAAATAAATACATCCTCGTTGATCTCGCTCCCTCCCGTTTGCCTCTTTAGGCAGCATCCTGATGTTTCCGGACTGGCCACCGGTACAATGGGAGGGCCCTGGGCTACATCCCTGCCAAACTAAGAAACCTGTGTTCTCCAAGGATCTATTTCTCTCTGTTCACTTCTCAGCAAGTTGTGAGCCTGCCTTGCTCCTCTAGCTGGGAAGTTCCAATAGGAAGGGCCCTGAAGGCTGCTTTGGAGTCTACTGATTACATCACCCCTCGTCTCTGCTTTGATCTGGTTCAGGTGCTGAGGTAGAACAGATGAAATAAAGACAGGTAAAACGGAGGCAAGGAAAATCAGAATTTTAAAACTGTATTTTTAAGGACTACAGCTCCGGGAATTGCCGGAGCTACACAAGCCCTGTTTAAATTTCTCTCTCAGAGACGAGAAGGCTGGGCAACTCGCTTTAACCGCAAATTAGCCTTTTTCGCCTGTGATTAAACCAACTCTTTCCACCTATACATTGTGCGTCCTCCCGCTGACCTCCACCCTCAAGGGAGCAGTAGTAATAGTGGGCAGCGGGTCTCAATTTTAAACACATGTAAGTGGTTTGCATTCTCACTAGGCTGGGAGGACAGACAGTAGGAACACGCATCCTCGATCACCCATTGGGGCGACACCACCCAGCCACGGACCGGAAGGCGCCTCATTCTCCGAACACCCACACTCCACTCTGCAGTGCGCGGCTTAAGTTTCTCCCTAGAAACCCTCCCCATGCCTCTTATTGACCAGTCCTGCAAACCACTCTCTATTTCCGTGATGAGAGTCAGGGAGCCTGCAACTTAATTCTCCAGGTCGAGCAGGTGCGGGTCCCGCTCCACTTCGTGGGGTGGTCGGGGTCTCCGGCGCAGGGACCCCTGTCTGTGTCCGTCCGTGTCCCGCGCTGAGCTCCGTCAGCATCGCAGGCTGACAAGCGATGCTTCCTGATGACTCTTTAGGGCCACAGGAACCAAGCGTGACTTCAACGGGAGCAACAACCCCCAGCAACCTCCGTCCGGCATCTCCTCTTTATCCAAAACGTAAAGCATCGCGCGCAGACCGCAGCCGCAGGGCCCCGGAGCCGACCAAGGCCTCCCGGCCCTGACCGAGGACACCCTCGCCGTGCGGACCTCCGGCCAGCCCTTCCCGATCAGGTTACCTGCGGGCAGCGGGGAGGTCAGAGCGTCTCCTGGGCTCGCGCCCCTTCGCCTCCCCTAAGCCAGCGGCCACAACACCTACAACCTCACCCGGGCCGGGCCGCTCGGACTCCGAGGAGACGGCCCGGAAATGGACGGAACGCCCGTCGTCGCCCCGTTGACGCCATCACGGAAGCGAGCGGACTCGGAACCGGGATAGAGCAGGCGCCATGTTAAGTGTGGGCACCCATGGTGAACCTACGTTGTGCTCATGGCTCCCATTAGCCTCGCTGGGCTACGGGGAGATCCGGACAGACTTTTATAGTGACTAGACAAATCTGTCTTTTAGCTAGTTTTTAATTGCGTAGGTTCACATCACTTCCGCCCAAAGTCAAAATGTCAGTCGGTAGCCTCAAACAAGTGCGGTAGTAAAGAAGAGGGGCGGAAGAAACGGAGGACAGCGATTGGCTAGAACTGTGTGAGCCTAAAGTGTGCGCAGCCAGTCCTGCTGCTGTCAGAGATCTGAATTCGCAAGGGGAGCCGTTTAGAGAAAAGGCTCAGATTCAGCGAGAAGTGAAACTGGGATTACTTCTACTGGCAATATTGTCTGCCTTTTTTGGGTGTAACTATCCAGCCATAGTGGAGCACACCTGTAATCCCAGCAGCTGCATGGAGGCAGAGCAAGAACAATTGTGAGTTCGAGGCCAGCCTTCGAGTTTGTCTCCAAATTTTAAAAAAGGGCTCAGTGGTGAGGCGCTTGCCTAACGTGCGCGAGACCCCCGGCAGGAAAAATAATGAAAAGAAAAGACAGAGCCGGACCATAGGCACACACCTGTAATCCCAGCACTCTGGAGACTGAGGCAGGAGGATCGCAAATTCGAGTCCAGCCCGGGTATTTCAGTAAGATCTTGTCTTAAAATAAAAATTTAAAAAGGGGGGCACCCTGAGGATGTAGCTCAGCACTAAGACTCTGGGTCAACCCCGAGTACAGGCCAAACACACACTCTTGCAGCGCACAAACTAAGCAGTATTTTCCCTACGGTCCTCTTCAAGGTCCGCAGTCGTCGTCATCACTACAACCTAACGCTTCTGGAGCATCCAGGTGAACAGTTGAATATAAATTATTTGTTCATATACAGCTCATACATCCTTTCTAGCCCATAATAGTATCCGAAATTTTTAAAATGGATAAAGACACCACAATTTCTTTAACTTAAAGGAAAACAAATACGTATCAAACTTGTCACTTATTCAAGTGTCCTAAATAAATATTTATGATGACATGGATACAAACGGTTCATTCAATCTATGCTGTAATCGCAATGAAGTCAGACCTCTCTGTTCTTGGTCAAGGCTGTCCTACAGGAACAGAACTCGTTCGATATGTGTAAAGTCAGTGTTTCTAGGAGCCTCCCTAACAACCGTGAAAAGAATGTGGTTAATTATAATTACAGTATATCCCAAAGGTTCTAAGTAAGTGTCTTGGTTACTTTTCTCTCGTTGCTGAGACAAAATACCTGACACCCAGAATTAAGGAAGGAAAGGTTTATTTAGTACACAGTCTGTGGAGGTTTCAGTCCATACTCGGCTGGCTCCAAGGGTGGCACATCACAGAGGGCAACCATTCATGGCAACTGAAGACAGCAAAAGCAACAAGAGCAAAATATGCAAACTATCCGCCCCAGGGCGGGTGTAGCACTCATACCCATAATCCCAGCATTGGATCATGGATCAATCATAAACTTTTAAAAGCTCGTCCCATAACTGTGAGGGTTTTGGGGGACATCCAGACACAAACCATAGCATTAAGCAAATTCAATATAAACTGCTTTTGAGACAGGGTCTTCTGTGTCATTCAGGCTGGCCTTAAACTCACAGCAACCGTCCTTTCTTAGCCTCCCAAGTGCTGGGATTACAGGTGTATGCCACCACAGCTGGCCTGAGACTTTTATTCATAGGTTTTTGGTACTGTCTTCAAAATACAATTTATTTTTATTTTTGCAATTAGAACTAACCATATTTTAATGTTTCTTGACACATGGAACTACAGGCTACTGCGTAGATGAGTGCCATTTGGCCATACTAATGCACTAGAAATTTCAGAAATTAAAGTATGATTCTGGGTTCTTGTACATTATAGTCAGAATCCACATCTGGCCACCAGAAATCCTCTAGATGCAAGGAAAACCTAGGACCATGAGAGGTGAGACCTCAAGGCCATCTCTAAAGACTGGTGCAGACTAGTGAAACCACTGTGGAAATCAGTTTGGAGATTCCTCAGAAAACTAGGACTAGAGGTCCCATTCAACCCAGCTATTCCCCTTCTGGGTATTTTCCCAGAATATCTAAAAACATCATATGACAGTGATATATGTGCACCTATGTTCATAGCAGCACAATTTGTAATTGCTAAATTGTGGAAGCAACCCAAATGTCCATCCACCGAGGATTGGATAAGAAAATTGTGGTACTTTTATATAATGAAATATTACTCAGCTATAAAGAAAGATAAACTCGAGGGCTTTATAGATAAATGGTCACAACTAGAGATCATACTCATAAGTGAAATAAATCAGACATGCATGTGCAAGCACTGCATTGTCTCACTAGTATAAAACCTGAAAGAGTTAATTTAAACTAGGAGGTATGATAGACATTGTGAAATGATAGGAAAACACTCAAGGGTAAAGGGCAACTGGGATGTGGGAAAAGAGAAGGGAAAGAAGGAGAAATGTTGTATGTATGTGTATTCAGGATAGGTAACATAGTTGTTCTACTGCTTCTATTTCTTTGCTGAAAGAAACTGTCAGTGAGTCCTTGACTGATGAATATTGCATGTCTCTATGTGTTTTCATGAGAAACCACTTTGAAGATATCAGTATGTAATACAACAAGCATTATTAATTTCCTACCACTTTGTTTGTAACTCTGTATTGTCTGTACTGTTCTTTTGCTATTTTGTAAAAGGTTGTCTGTCTGTTAATGTTTTCCTCCTTTTATTTAAAAAAAAAAAAAAAGACTGAGAGTTCCTTGGGTTTTTAAATCTGTTTATTCAAGAGTAGAGAGCATTCTCTAAAATGTTTTAGCCAATTCACCCAGCTTCAATTCTTTGAAGCTCATTTCTAATATTCACCCTAGCAATGAAGAAGTTGTTATCTTGCCAGTAAAAACAACAATCAAACAAAATCATTTCTGATACCATGATAATTTGGCCTTGAGGTCTCTTTGGCCACAACATCTTGTAATCAAGAGATGAAGGTCACTAAAGAATTTGTGGCTCCATCTCTGTCATGTGGCCTTCTGGTGTGATGTGAGCTGCTGACCCAAGAGGATACAGTCCTAATCACTGGAATGCTAGCTGATCCTACAGTGTAGGTTCAATTGATTACACCGCACAGAGCATGACAGTTTATCCAGAGGTTGTTTAGGCTGTCTACCAGGACATAAAGCGTGAAAGGTAAATTGTAAGCATCTATGCCCAACTCCCCTAAAACCCCACCAGGGCAGGGCTAGGGTTTATAATCACTCCCAGAGAGAGACCTCAAGGCCAAATTAAACAAAAGAAATATAATTAGAAATTACAGGTGCGTGGTGGTACATACCTGTAATTTCAGGAGTCTTCGAGGCTGAGGCAAGTGAAACAAGTTCAAGTCCTGCCTGGGCAGTTTAGCAAGAACCTGTCTCAAAAACAATATGTGTGTGTGTGTGTAGTGGCTGAGGATGTAACTCAGCATGAATGCCCCGTGTTTAATCCCCTGTTCAACACATACTATTACTTTACTAGCTCCAACATCCGTTCCCATTTCTGCTTTGGTCACCTTCACTGTAGAAGTTAAGAAATCAAAACAATGACTTTCTGAGTCTCCTTTGCAGCCGTGTGGTCATAAATTCAGGGAGACACAGCAAACGCATGCAGGGACCAGGGAAAGGCAGGCAGTGCATTAGGAAAAATTTCTGCTTTCTTGATACAGGAAAGGAATGTGGCTGAAATAAGAGCAGCTATCCAAACTCTGTGAAACTGCACACACACAGGCTAGCAATGTAGAGCTGTGAGATGGAAGGTTGGGATTCTCCTGATGCAGCTCACAGTTGTGTTTTTCTCCCTTTCACAGGAGGGGTAGAAATGACCCTTTAGCTGGTGTGTGCAATCTTCAGCGGTCACACAGCTGCTTACCTGCTGCCTCTCAAGCAGCATCCTCACCTCTGAGTCCTGCTGACACTCTCCACTTCTTGCTCCCTCATGCAGCATCCAGATGTGGCTGGGCCCCTGGGTGGACGTCCTCTCCTCATGTCCCAGCCTGGTGGTCTGGACTCTGCACTTCTTTGCCCCAAGGTGAACCTACTCCCAAATATTAATGAGAAAGGAATATTTTACTGTTGGTTGAGTAGAAGAGAAATGAGAAAGCTTGACATACCCTGCTTTCTCTTCCTAGTATTCATCTACTCACATATTTGTTCCTGGTGTCACTCAAGACTAAATAAATGTCACTTGGTAAATCTCTGGATTAAGCTGGGAGGGGCGGCACATGCCTGAAATCCCAGCAATGTAGGAAGCTGAGGCCGGAGGATGACAAGGTCAAGGCCAGCCTGGGCAATTTAGCAGCTAAGCAGGACCCTAGTTCAAAATAATAAAGAGCTTGGGATGCAGCTTGCTGTGAAGGCCCTAGGTTTAATCCCTAGTGCTGCCCCCCTCAAAAACGGAAGAAGGAGAAGAAGGGGAAGGGAAATGGGAATGGGAAGGGAAGGAAAGAAGAAGGAAGAGAAGGAGAAGAAAAAGAACCATGATTTAGAATCCAAATTGAAATTTTTGTCCAATAGGGATAAAAATAATTCTGTGCAGTGAGCATTTGGTTCTGTAGGAAGACAGGGCTTTATTCTAGCTCACAGCAATCCACTGTTCTAATTGGGGTTGGGAGAGGAAGTCGTTGTATAAATGATCTGCCTGTGGGGCTTGTCTGAGGTCCTAAGCCTAAGGCACCTTTGCCCAAAGTGCGCTGATTACCATTTCTCTAGATCCCTATGCCCTGATAATGAAAAACTGACACCTGGCAACATTTTAATTCCATTCTACCCATCTTTAAATTACCCATTTTAGCTTCTTTAAATACACCAGCACTGATCTGAGTTAGAGACAGCCTAAGTGCTTGCAGTGTGTGCCCTGCAGGACAGATTTCTGTGTGAAATCCTGCGGATGTCAGACCCTCTGAAGCGTGAGCTGCTGCTCAACTTCAAAACGCACGTGAATCACCTTGCAAATTTGCTTTAGGGAGGAAACGGGTTTGGAGCAAACAATGTGCGCACATTTCCTTGGAGGCCCTTCAGCGGAAAGACCCAGGTCTCACCTTCCATCTGTGGCGGGGGCAGTCGGTGCGCCACCCGGAAGTGCGTAAAAGACCCGGGGCTGAGGCTGCACCCTGTTGTTGGCGTTGAGAAGCGCCAGGCCTTTGATCAGTGGCACGCTCCTCTGACCTCCTGTCCTTCTGTTCTCTTTCCTCTCGCCCCAGCCCACGCACGCTGGTCCCCTGTAGTCCTCCGAAGTGCCAGGCAAGGCGCTGCCTTGGGACCTCAGCCTGCCATTCTGCCTTCTTCCTGACGTCCTCTCTGCCTTCTAACCCCTCGCCCCACCCCTGAGCTCACCACTAGTTCACCGTGGGCGCCTTGCCAGGCAGGGCTCTGCGGTCCCCAAGTAAATAGCTGGATTCTTAGCAAAAATTTCTCCTTTTTTAAATTTAGGGTTCCGGTAATTCGGAATTATACAAAAATGCGATTACACTAACAGGTTTGGTTTTTTTTTTTTTTTTAAGACAGAACAACTAAAACCGAATAAGATGCCAAAAAATTAACTCAGAACAAACATAGCTGGGCAGTGAATCCAGCAGAGGGAAGCTGGATTCCCCGGAGCTCTTTGGCTCCTCCTGGCGGTGAATAGACTGTGTCGCTTCCCCGTCTTGCCTGGACTTTGCTATGGCTTGAGTACTTTTATTGCTACCTAAAAAGTAGGCTGTGGGGAGAAAGGAACCCTTTTCCACTATTGGTGGGAGTGTAGACTGGTACAACTACTGTGGAAATCAGTGTGGAGATTCCTCAAAAAACTAGGATTAGAGGACCTATTCAACCCAGCTATTTCTCTTTTGGATATTTTTCTGGAAGAATTGAAAACATCATACCACAGTGATATACAGTGCAGTTTGTCATAGCTAAATCTTAGAAACAACTCAAACGCCCATCAACGGAGGAATGGATAGAAAAGATGTGATATTTTTATACAATAGAGTACTACTCAGCTATAACAAAGATAAACTAGAGGCTTGTAGAAGTAAATGAATGCAACTACAGACCATTCTCATAAGTGAAATAAATCAGACCTGCATATATAAACATAGTATTGTCTCCCTAGTGTAAGACACTGAAAGAATAAATAAAATCTGAAAGGTACAATAGCTATTCTGAAAGAGAAAGAAACTGCTTAAAAGGAAAGAACAACTGGAATGAGGAAAAGGAGAAAAGAAGGGAAAAATATATATACACAAGATAGCTAAGATATTTGTACTACTAATTCCTGTTGGTTTATTGAAAGGAACAGTTAATGATTAATTTTTTGATCACTTTTACATGCCTATATCTGGTCATCTGAACAACTACTTTGAAGATAACAATAAGCAATGTAACAAACTGTTGGTTTCATATCATCTTGTTTTGAAATTCTGTATTGTTCTTAATTTTTTTATTTTTTATTCTCTTTTAAAATAAAAAAGTATATAGACTGATAAACACTAAAGTGTATTTATATCCATACAATATTATTCAGCTGTAGAAAGGAGGGAAGTTTTAATACATTCTACAACATGAAATATAAGCACATTATGCTAAATGAAAAATAATTAGACTAAATGAAAAAATATCCAGACATTGTATGATTTTGTTTACATAAATGTTCAGGATAGATAAATCTGTAGAGACAGGAAGCAGCTTAGTGGTTGCCAGGAGTTGGGGATGTGCTGACTAGGGGGAGGGGTTACCTTTTGGAGCAATGAAAATATTCTGGAGTTAGATAGCAGCGGTGAGGAGAAAACAATCTCATGATTGTATGAGATGTGATTGAAACGTACAATGAATGTTTACACTAAAAATATTATAGTAAAAGACACATTGGCATTAATCCCCCTCAAAATACTCCCTCTCCCTGAAAACATACCTTCCCTCCTTCTTGCTGCTTTCTGAAGTCATTCTGGAAGTTCTCTTTCATGCAGGCTTCTAGTTGCACCGTGACGGCTGCAGAAGTATTTGCCTTTCACGGACGTTTTGTCTTTGGGAAGAGTTAGAGGTTGCTATTGCCAGGCCCAGTGAATAAGGTGGATGATGGCACAATGGAGCCTGCCTTTCACTGGATGGCAGGCAGTTAACATTCACCACATTTTATATCAGACCTCACAAAGACACTCACAAAAGAGAACTTCCAGAACTGCTTCAGAAAGTGGCAAGAAAGATGGGAAAGGTGTGTTTGAAGCGAGGGGGAGTATGTTGAAGGGAGTTAATAGTAATGCGTCTTTTACTGTAATGTATTTTTAAAATTTAAAGATTCATGATCATACCTTGTGCTAAACATCAATTAATCATACACGTCCTTGTCTCATTCCTGATTTTAGAGGAAAAGTGCTGTTTTGCCCCATTTAATATGATGTTGCTGGTAGGTTTGTCATAAATGGATTTTATCACATTGAGATGAAGTTCTATACTTACTCAGTGTTTTTTTCATGAAAGGATATTAGATTTTCTCAAATGCTTTTCCTGTATCTATTGAGATAATCATGTAATTTTTGTTTTTGCTTCTGTTTATGTGATGTATGGTATTTACTGATTTGTGTATGTTAAACCTTTCTTGCATTCCTGGGTTGCTGTCTACTTGGTCATGATGTATGATTTTTTTGATGATTCATTGCGTTCTGTCTGTCAGCATCTTTTTGAGGACTTTTGCATTTATATTCATGAAAGAGATTGGTCTATAGTTCTCTTTTCTGTTGAATCCTTGTCTGGTTTTGGAATCAGGGTAATGTGTTTTTAGGAATGACTTTGGGAATACTTCTTCCCTTTCAATTTCTTAAAGAGCTTGAGGAGTATTTGCATTAAATCTTTCCTGGAGTTTTTGGAGAATTCAGCAGTGAATCCATTTGAACCTAGGCTCTTCCTAGTTGGCAGTTTTTAAAAATTCTTATTACTTCCTCAATTTCATTACTTGTTATTAGATTCTTCAGGGTTTTAAATCTTCTTGGTTCAGTTTTGGTAATTCATACATATTTAGGAATCTATCCATCTCTTTTGAATTCTTCAAAGTATTGGCATATAGCTTTGTAAGGAGATGTTATCACGTTTATCATTTCTTTTTTTGTAGTAGGTTTAGGTTTGGATTGTTCTTGCTTTTGTAGGACCTTGAGGTGCATCATGTATCATGTGGTTATTTGGGTTCATTCTGTTTTTGTGACATAGGCATTCAAAGTTATAAACTTCCCACTTAGGATGGCTTTCATTGTGCTGCATAAGTTCTGTTATGTTGTACTGGCATTATCTTTTAGTTCCAGAAACTGTCCTATTTGTTTCTTGATTTCTTCTGTAGCTGCCTATTTACTTAAGAGTGTATTATTTAGTTTACCCAAATTTGCATAATTTCTGTGGTTTTTGTTATTGATTTCTAGTTTTATTGCACAATGATCTGGTAGTATGCATGGTATAATTTCATTTTTTAATACTTACCTAAGCTTGCTTTATGGGCTAGGCATGGTCTATTTGGAGAAAATTCCTTGTGCTTCTGAGAAGAATGTATTCCATTTTTGTTGGGCGGAACTCTCTATAGTTATCTGTAGGGGACTCAGCCTGTCGGTGTACCCCAGGGCAGAACAGCAGTGGGTATGAGGAAAAGATATACAAGAGACAAGACCTGGGTCAGATGGAGGTGACCTGTTACCTGGGCAAGAGGACTGACTTTAACAGGAGGGGTATTTATGTTATACTCTTGCAAAGTTAGTAGGAGGAGAGGTAATGTTGCCTAGCGACTAACGACTGTAATTGTCCAGGCGGGATGCTTTTCTCAACACTGAGGTAGCTTGACTGCTTGAGCCACTCTGGCTCTGTCCCGCCCCCACAAATATGGCCCATTTCCAGCTCTAGTGGCTCCCAACAGTTATCTATTAAATCCATTTGTTCAAATGTTTTGTTGTTGTTTTTTGGTTTTTTGAAACAAGGCCTCCCTCTGTAATTCCAGCTAGACTCGATCTCACACTACATGGCCCAGGCTGGCCTCAAACTCATGGTGATTCTCTCTTCAGTCTCCCAAGTGTTGAGATT